ATGCTACTACATTTTAGGAGGTGGTAAAACGACTTACGCTGCGATTAAACTCCCGCTCAATCTCACCCGAGTTGAAATCCACGTACGAAATATATTTAAACAGAGTAACATAGCTCAAGTTCTCCAAAAGTACTCACTTACTGAGTGAGATATAAAATAGAGAACGGAGAATATTCCAAATCCAAACAAAAATTATGGACAAATTCTCGGCTGGCCATATCAGCGACAACTATAACAGACCTAGAACGCGCGAGAGAGCAAACCAAGCTATAGTGTATCCTGATGTTTCTAATAGGTATACAAAGTCTTGACTTTCTTTTGTGAACGTACTACACTGAGCCCTAAAACCAACAGTGCAACAGCTTTTGATAAAATCCTACTTAAGTCTTTTGGGTCAGAAATAGAATTTAGATCTGTGGATTCAGTGATGTGAATAGATGAAACAGTTTATTGTTATGTGAAATTCCCTAACAGTGTTAACCGACCAGGTCTGAAGGTTGGCACACTATATATATAGTATGTATATATATATCCTATAGAACATTTATACATTTAAAAAATTAAATGTAATCTCAGGACCAGTCGGTACAAGTAGCAGGCATAGATTTAAGATAAGATTGGTTCTCCTATGGATATTTTTGCAAAACGCAGAACCAGACAGAATATCAGCCAATATGGTATACAAAGAAGTTCTTAATCAAATACTAACTTTCTGTTCGAGTTTTTTTAGCGTAAACTAATTTAAGTGAATCTATAATGATTACATAAATGTACACATAATATAACAAATTCGATATGACAACATAAATTCAATGGAAACTAAAACTGAAGCAACTTTTTACTCCATACGAGTGAAGCTGCGGGCACAAAGCTATAAAAATTTTCACTTTATATTTTGTGTAACGAATGATTTAACTTAAAATAGGAGGAAGACTAAGTTTTAGGTATACATATTGTGGCCTTTAAAAAACGTAGATGGTTGATGATGATGTTGATGGTAGCCTGTTAGTTAAAAAGGACATATTAGCCGAGTTACATGATTGTTATGTCGTAAACATTATATACGAGTTATATCATTGTACTCTCTTCCTCTTATTTAGGAAAGATGGAGTAGAAAAATGTGCCAAAAATAGAGATAGTGGAGTTTGCTAACTGTTTTAAAAAAGTTTTGAGTAATGATCACTAAAATTAAATTTGTTTTGCACAATATATTTAAGAAACATGAGTTTCTTTTTGCAAGTAAAAAAGTATGTATTGTGAAAAAGTTAAATAAATAATTTATTGTGTAAAGAATAAAGATATTAGTACCTAAAAACAACACAATATTCGGAGCTACGGAACCCTCGATGCACGAATCGAAACCACACTCACACATTTGAAAATCATTAGAGCTATCAAATTATTATTAGTTATAACATAAAGCCAAATAGTTTGCTTTTTAGTAGTTGGCCGCGGGCGAATCGGGCGATTATATATTTGTAAGAAATAAATCGTATAAACTTTCATGTACTATAAATAAAGCAATATATTAATGATTTTTATTAAACAAACTATGTGGATTGCGCAAGCGCATCCCATAAATGGAAACTGAACAAAATCAATTAATCAAATAAATTTTACTAACCTCGGTAAAAATTTGTCGGTGATCGCAAATTTTCTCTTCGATTTTGTCATTGACACCCAAATTTCCGTATAAAATAATTAAATAACGTCTAAACGTAAACAATTTAGCGTCCAAATGAACCGGGAACCAATTCCGAACTGTGACCGGTTGCTTAAAGCCTCCATTTATGTAGTTGGACTCGTTTTCATTCTGGTTGTGTGACGTCACGATGCTTAACAACATTAGTAGGAAAAATATTTTTTTAGATGTTTTTTTTTAAATACTAAATTAACATTTAATGGATTTTATTATTATTTGGGACGAATAAATAAATATGTGTTAGGTACTTAATAGTTTTATATCATAATATTCGTTAACTCGCTCTATATAGTCTTTGAACCACACCTGTACCACAGATCATAATATACTATACTAGTCCTGTACCATATTTACAACGGATTGAAAGTTTGACCGTTAAAGATAAACATTTTTTAATGAAAATCAGATTTTTTATATATTAATAGAAATATTTTGAAGTATTCGTTAAGGACATATGATCTTTGTTTTATATCTGTATAAAAATTACATTTAAGCGTATACAAAGTTGTACACTTTATATATGTATATAATTCTTCTGTACGTGTGTTTGTCACCTCACTCCTCCTAAAGGGCTAAACTTGATTTGGATGGAATTTTGTGTGTATATTTCAATGTGCTCCTGGATAGCTTGAAAATACAATTGGACCCGGTAGGTGGTGCTGGTGTTGGTATGTCACTGATCTTCTCCTAAGCGGCAGGCACGATTTTAATGATATTTTTTGTGTATGTTCGAGTCGGTCCCTGCAAGGATTAAATTCATAAATTGACCCGGTAGGTGACGCTGCAGTCAGTGTATCAAAGAGTTTGTTTTTTTAATAGCTTAAACGCGGGTGAAGTTCCGGGTAATGCTAGTAATACAATAAATACCTTTAGACCGGCTATAAAAAGGAAAATGTACTCAATATGGATGATATATTCGTACTCGTGTACCGATTTACTAATTCTTTCATTTATTAATAATTTATCTTCGTCAATCGAGCTATTAATAAAAACCACCCCAAAGAACTCAATCGTTTTTACTAAAAATAGGAATTAAAAAGGATAATCTGGATAGAAAACATAAAAAGAATATCTGCAACCTTGCACCCATTCTGTAAACCTCCTTCCTATAATACGGAGAGCATGTTCGCTGTGGTTGGTATGGGTATGATGGTTGCAACCTAAACATGACAGACTAGACAAATAGGCGAAACCGCGGACGGCAGTCAATATTTAAAAATTTAAATAATAAAACAAAATGTAAAAACCTATTCTACATAAAGTTGTTTATTTCAAACGTGTTGCTGATCACGTCTCTACTTGATGTACGCTTGCAAAACTACTATTCTATATTATTTTTACTGGACTTTTATCCTTAATCATAATATTTAAAATCGAAGATGTTTTTATTTGTTCTTCTATCACGCAGCAATAGACGAACAAATAAACGTATTTTTTGTATAAAGATACAAGTAGTTCAACGGCCTGATCTCTATTTTAAATGTAGTTATTGCTGGTTCAGGAGATTAGGAGGTCCTGGGTTCGATTTCTATCAAGCCAAGTACAGTTATCGGCTTCTCATGTTAAGAAAATCTCAAAAAACCGGGGTTGACAAGTTCTCTTGGAAAGGATTTTTGTACCTCAGTTATTACAGTTACATTATATTACAGTACATGTTGTGTTTGCAACACACTTGTGCACTATAATATCTCATAGGCAGATGGATAATCTCAGTAGATTAACCGCTATGGTCCAAATAATTCTAAGGAATTTATTATAGAAGAACGTAATCATAGCGATATCTTAACCCATAATCAAACCCCCTACCCTGCTTAACTTTGTTTAGACATATAACAGTCGTGATTCTGATAGGATGACAATTCCAATTTTTTTATATAATATCATATTTAACTCTTACGAGTATTTTTATCTCATTAGAATCGATTTTCAATCATCAGATAAAATATCAAGATATAAATTACAATATTACAATTAAGTTAATATAATATTTTAATTCTTTTTGGGTGTACAATAAAGAGTTATTTATTTATTCATTAATTTTTTACTGTTATATTCAGCTATCTTATATTTTAATTATTAGATAAATGTTACTTTCATCTAATTTTAGTATAAAAGTGTAATAAAATACTAAAATGATTACGTAAATGTTATCGGTAGACCAAAAAACCAAACTGGCAGTTAAATTCCCAGTAGAATTCCAAAGTTATTGAATTTTCACGTAAAAATCGCGACTGCGTAAAAAGCGAGCTAGAAAGATGGAAATAACGTAGGAAGTGGTAGATACTAGAATATATATATGTATAATGAAAATCTTCTATTTAAACTAGAAAATTCAAGTGCACTAAAATTGATTATTAATAATGATTTGTCAATACATTCATTCATTCATCGTGTATTTACGTCTTTTAAAAAAGAAACTTGCACTATTTTTAGTTAACCATATTAATAGCTCACAAGAGTATCGTAGAGCTAGCTCGTTTCTTAGACAAAGTGGTTTAAATTAAAGCTAAGATGACTCCAGAAGCCATTAAATGCACGTGTCGCAATTAACTAAGGAACATAATCTTCTGGAGTGCCGCCAAATTGTAGCCATAGCATTTAGTTTATATGAGATTACCAATATGGACGAGGACAACAAAAATTATGGTATCAATATTTAAAAGTAGAAAGCAAAATCGAATTTATAACCACTAGTTAAAACCCTTAAAGAAGTCACGGGTCAACCCTAAAATAAATAAATTAGATTTTTGAACAATATTTTCCGAATCGGGAATCGAACTTGTTATCGATGAAAAAAGTTACTATCGCTTTTAAAGTTCAAATTCTTATATAGCCATAATAGCAAAACAATGACAGATATTTAACTTGCTTGAACATTTTACAATGTATTTTGTAGTAAAAAATTTAGTGGTTTTTCGGTCTTACTAATGAAACCTCAGGTTGGTTCATGAGTTTCGTGTGGTTTTAGTAAATGTGAACTACTTCTGTGTACTACTAACCTGTACCTACTACATTTAGAATTTATGTCTCGATCGGTTAAATTTATTTAATTTATTTTTATTTAATCTTGATAAATAGCCTTAAAATTAAATTATGTTACGAAAAATTATCACTCTATATACATTTCATCTTCAAGTATTTTACCTATAATCAAACAACTTCTATATCCATTTTCCATCATTTTTCTTTTCTATATTTTCCACTCATAAAACGTAAGGCAGTTCAAATTAAACGTTTCATATATTAAAATATCATTTAGAAAATAAAATACATATATTTAATTTAATAGACACATTTAATCTGTGTAAGGCTTTATGATAATCTCCTCAACTCTCCTCTTGCGGTGATTATAAATCCATTCCATTATTAAAACTGTTGTTGCTGAGAAAACACCTGTAAAATATTCGTTAATATCAACATACGTGTTTCATTTTTAAAAATAATTGGTTTAATTTAAGATTATTTTTATTTTATAAATTTATCTTAAACTACTAGCGGCAAGATCTCTACCTCTGCCGCTTTCACTTCTTTTCACTTCTTCCATAAGCATCATTTTCTTTCTTCTTCGAGACAGTCTTTTTTTCTACTTCTTCTTCAAATAATCGTCTATCATATTAAATTTAGATAATTAACAATTGATAAGCTTAATTACCAAGAAACAACACAAAGAAAGATCCCTGCATATCGCTAAGATTTACGGTGTGATTGTTGACTTCCTCCACGGCGGAGGTCTTCCAACACCGGTCACGCTTAGGAAGGTAAGCGCTCAACCACTTTGAAATGAGTCCCGCTTTGTGCATACGGTTTAATCTAGAATTTTGATTTAAATTACTTATTAATTTAAAGAACACTTGTTCCAAGATAGCGCTGATCTCTTACTATTAAGCTTAGTGTTTACTGATAGTAACTTTTCTATTTGTTTGGATAATTATGAAGATGATATATGTACATTTTTTTAGTATTTTGCACGAAAAAAATTATAAGTATGGTGTCCTGACCAATTTTAATCTTCAATAAACAACTACGCAAGAGATAAAGTCTCGTGGTTTGTATACATACCAATAAAGACTGTAAGGACCTAGGTTTGAATCCCGAATCGGGCTTAAATATACTTTTTTTTCTCAGTGACAGCCGGGAATCGGAAAGTTGGCAGTGTTATATCCTCGTATTTTAGAGAGCACGCAAAGCGTGCATTTACACAATCCCGCGCAGATTTCTAGATTCAGTAAAATTCACTTGTCTCAGATCTTGAAAACGGCTTCGAGAACATTCATACTTACTCTTTATTTATAACAGGTAGGTAAGGACTACCTGCAGGCACTATCATCGCTACTTGCTCGTCCATGAATTCTTCAGTACCTATAGAAATTTATGTGTATTCATATATATTATTATAATAGCAATTTTATTCATTAAATAATTACAAATTTATTTCTTATGGTTAATTATTTAGTATTATTACTTCTATTTTAAATACTTTCAATTACTTTTCCGGTAATTATATATCCGGTATATTCTGTAGGCTAAGCTAAAGTATAAAATACTAGTGTTCTTGTATTCTATTGTGCTTTTCTGTGTCCTGTGAACGATACTAATTGACTGACTGATATTTAATTTAAATTTTGAAAATGTAAAAATTGACGATTCAAATGTGCTTATAAAAGTCTATTTTAATAAAAAATTAAGATTTTTTTTGATTTGATATGATACACCTTCTACTATAATCTGTGCAAGAAAGAAGAAGAATTTATCACCATCTATCAACGAGCAACTGTTGAGTTTCTCTGGGACTCTTCTCAGCAGAACTGCTTTCGGAGCCTTTCTGCTCACGGACTAACATATTATATTATATATATTGACGGAAAAGTGCTTATAATAAGTCTAATTGAATAAAGTTTATTTCATTCATTCAATTATTCATCACCCTGGACCAGCTTTCCCAGATGCTCGGGCTTAGTTCCATATTGTACAATGCGATAGCCCTATAGATTAGATTCTTTACTTACAATTCTTATGCCGCTATACTCACTGTACAACCACTAGGGAAATCCTCGCCAATTGGAACTTGGTATATTTGCAAGTGCAATAAGACTTACTTAAGGAGAAATCGCATGTATCAGTTCTCAGATTTTCAGCCCTCATGAGATAAGTGAGCCTCAACTTCCAGTCTATCAGCGCGTGGTGATTATTGCGAACCCGATTTAATATTTCTGTGCCTTTGAAAGAGTTTAATAATTCAAATATTGTTATTTAATATATTAAAACATACAGCGCTACAAATAAAAGGGTTCCGATATTATCATTAGCTTAGTTAGTGTAAGGATTCTGTAAACTATAATATGTACTTGCCAAAATCAGGAATTGAACCTATAGGTCCCTAATATAAAAACAATTACTTTGACTAAATAAAATAATAGTTAAAAGCAATTATAAACATGTAGATTTTTAGCAAAATGTTTGTATCAATATTTTCAAATATTACAAAACTTCAATCTCCTATTTGCAACTGTAAAAGTGTCAAGAACGCAACAAGTTTTTCAGTTAAAGTTGTATGTGAAATAAATTTTCTTACCGGAAACGAGGCTGCCTTCGACAACGTTAATGCCGCTAGTCACTTCCGCCCCTTTCAGTAGAGCCGTGTACTTTGGCTCGTCAGAATGCTATGAATTTACCATTTCACATTTTTTTTATGAATTAAGTATGAAATACTTTAATGTTTTGCCTTATTTTATATTTTAAGAAAAAACTTGATAATACATACATATAATAAAATAACTCTACTTACATTATTCTATTCTAAAATAGCTTAAAATTATAAAAACAATCTCTACTTTAAATCTTTTTAAGTTTTCCTATACTTAACTACGGTTAGTTAGCTATGTAAATACCTAAATAAGTAATAATCCTTTACCGGTGTTAATTAATAACTATTAAATTTAACCGATATTCGCTAATCGATGTGCTATTATATATAGAAAACTATTTGTTGCAAGAACACATAATGAACCATTATAATTATTCTCAGGCTTTTTATAAAAACTATATAACTTTTAAATAATTAAAATAAATCCATACTAATATTCCAAATATACATAGCTCTGTGTGTATATTAGCTGTTCATGCGTAAAACGATGAACAGATTTTGATGAAATTTTAGCAAAAAGTAACATGTGGATTAACATAAACTTTTTATCCCCACCCCACTTATAATGCAAGGAAAATCGAGGGCAGTAACTAGTTTTTAATATACATATGTATATACATGTATTATACATATTAGCACATACCTTTAATTGTGTTTCCAAAAACGATCCCTTAACAAGAGACCAAGTATAGGTCTTACTTTCCAATAGTTCCGATATAGTGGTAACAGGTATCTCGAGCTTGGGAAAAGTGAGAAATGCCACCAAGTTCCCAGAATACGTGGTGACAACTATTAACACAACTATCCACCACGTACCGACCACGAGACGTCCACTATCTGCACGAGGTAGGTACATACCACCTTTGGAATAAGAGACATAATATTATACTTTCTTAGATTTACTCCAATATTTGACATCTATACATATAATAAAATTCTAACTAAGCCGAATCTGTACATTAAATATTTTTTGGAAAATCTGATTGAAATAAACATTATTATCGATACAGAGGCCGAATCTATGGTTTTTAGAATTTTTGTCTGTCTGTCTGTTACCGCATCACAGAAAAACCACTGGTTATCTGGGACATATAGGGTGAGTCTCTAGTTTTAAATAAAACTATCATTTTTTCGGATATTTTTGCGGATTACCGACGTTTCGAATGCTTTACATCAATCATCGTCACGGAAGAACTAAATATAAATATATTTCGGTCATTGATTTAAAAAAATAAAAAAATGGCATCAAAGTATCTTACAATTTTCTAAAATTTAATATTAAGCGCTTTAAAAAAAATCTTAATCCATTTCAAACATATAACATTTCTATTTTTTTCTTTAAATAAACAAATCTTTTTTGTATTATTAATTACTAGAAAAAAATTGAGTCATGCTTTTATAAATTGGTGTTTGCTTATTTGTTCTAATATTAAAAATAACTTTATTTTTTGTTGGATTACATGCTATCTACATAAAATGCCAAAGTATTTGAGGGATATTTTATTTTTTCAAAATCTTTGTATATATTAGTTTAAATTTTAATAGTTATTTTAATAAAATTAACTAAATAAAAATAAATATAATTAAATTAACTTAATAAAATCTATAATCTGATATATATATTTATATATATATACATATCATTATATTTTCCATAAAATCGTTTCCGTACAAATCACACCAGATAAACTGACGTAAATAAAACAAGTGACACAAGTGAGATTCGAACTTAAAACAGATTGACTGGACGAGATTTTTATTATAGATAAATCCACTAGTACTCAATACTTTTATCCTGTTTAACTGTATGTGTAGTACATATGTATGAATATTTACAACTAGTTATATGTATATGTTTACATATAATAAAATCATTTAAGTATTTAAACGAGTTACTTTAAAATCTCATATAGATGATGCAATTTTAACTAAGTATTACATTATATTTGCAACATAATTACTAACATACATACATATTAATAATATTACCTTGTTGTAGCAAAGCGCCATAAATATACCATAGGCAGTTATGTATAGTAGACAGACCTCCCTCGCGGGTGATCTCCATAGCATCATAATACGGGCTCAGTCGGTGAATGATGTATAGCGTGGGACCCATTAAAATGACTGCAAATCCTAGACATAGCCACGTCTAAAATATACGAAATGCTTAAAATATAATAATTTTAATGAACAAGAGTTTAGCTTAGTTAACGAGATGGTTTAATTAGAAGGAAACTTTCGAAAAGCCAAATAAGCAGATTTTTAAAGATTTGGATTTTTATTATACTACAAAGAAGGACTAACAAACATACATATATATGCACATACGTACAAGCTTTTACACACTATCTAGTTTAGTATTATTAGATCAGTGATACTATATAACCTTTGATGGTAAAAAATAAAGAGTCTATACGTCAAAACATGACAACCATGCGGTGGGTGCGAGGGAGACGTGGATGAGATGTAACCGACAGTCAATTCAATTCTTATGTTCAATGGCTTCTAAGCGTGCCGCTTGCGCACCATTTACTTCGCCATTCGCCAATGTAGGGTAGAACGGGGAAGACCAGTTATATATAGAATGATCGGTATAAAGTAGAAAAAAAAACACAAAATCTGATTACATGTAGAAACGGAGTAAATCGTTGTAAAATGAAATTCAATTCAATTCAATTCAAAAAATTGTTGGAAAATACATACAACATTATATACAAAAACTTTATGAGAAACATAACATTAAAATTAATAATTGTTAGAACTAATCGTTCGTATCGTTATATATTTTACTGTCACACATGCTTTTATATTAAGACAGATGGGATATAGGTACCTATGATATCTAGAAAATATGGGGTATGTATTGGCTTTATAAATCAATGTCACGGGTATAACTGCCACGTGATAACACTGTACAGTGCTTTAACTTCGAAACCGTTCGTTTCGTTCTGAAAAATGAAAATTGATATTTGTTTGCCCTTGCACGGCATTTTCGTTCAAATCTATGTGCAATCGTCTACTGTATGGATTTTTATACTGCGACATTACTATACTTGTATATCTTTCTCAAAACAGCTTACGTACTTTATCGTTCATTCTGCGAATAAATTTTAGAAACGAGAAAACTTATTGGCTATATAAAAATTTGAACATAATCTATAACAAAAGCGAGTGCTAGGCCATTTTGGCGTCGATTTGAGTCTTATATACTTAGTTACATATAATTACATATACAGTATACACAAATACGTTTATTAGGTTATTTGAAGAAATATGTGAAACTTACATCAGTAGTAAAAGGTAGTAGAAACAATAACGCTCTACTCAACTCCCTCGGACGGGCGATCATGAACGAGTAAGTCTGAGTACTGACCGGTGTGGTGTAGTTTATTCCTGTATAGATGAAAAAAATCTTCTACTTTATTATTACAGTAAGTACCTGATAGCCAAAATTTTTTTTTTACATCCACTTAAAAAATTATTAGGTTCTCAATTTGACTGTATGTATGTCTTTACTGCTTTAGGACTAATTTTAATTTTTCTTTCTTAATTATTCGCCTCTTATAAAATAGTTTACTTTAAATGCCCATAGTTTATACATATAGATATTTTTTTACATATTTAGATAGTTTTTGTAAAATATGTTTAAAATTTGTAAACAACTTTCCTACTACGTGTTACATTTAAACAATCACCTGGATTACGATCAGAGAGGACCGTAAAAGCGGCGGCCGCGAGCGCCGCGCGACCCTTGGCGATAGCCGATAGAGTCAACATAGAACTCGCACTATGTGACATCTGAGTAATAAAATGTTAATATTATATATCATAAGCCGTATCATATCATGCCCAGTAGGAGCGCAGGTGGACTGTGGCCTGATCTCCCTCGTATTGGCAGGCCCCTTCCCAGTAGTAGGACGTTAAAAAGGGCAGAATTATTATATATCATAATACTGATATATATATATATATATGTTTAAACAATATATGTATGTATATCTCTTTACCCCGGAACTACTAAACTAACTAGTATAGAAGCGTTACGCGAAAAGGGGACCTGAAGTTATATCTTAAGATTAGCTCTACCGATTAAGTTACATCTTTTAACTTCTCTTACTTCAAGAAACTCTTACTTCTACAATTAATAACTAGAATCCGCATTCACTTAGACGCTTACAAGAAGAGTCGCCGTTCTATTAAGGAAGTCTCAGTAACAGCCCGGAGTTGGGAAGTTGGCGGTGTTTCACCCCCGTGCCTCGGAGAGCACGTAAAGCCGTCGGTCCTGCGCCGACACTCTCACTGGTCGTGTCGAGTGGTCGTCCCACCGGAGTATGAGAGTGACAGGAATAGAGAGCGCACGTTGTGTCTGCGCGTACACTTGTGCACTATAATATCTCCTGCGCAGTTGGCTAGTCTCAATGAGATTGGCCGCCGTGGCCGTAATCGGGAGGATATTATCATCATATTGACTATACTTATAATACTTACATCAGTCGCTGTGTCATTAGTATTATTTTGTTTTATATTCCCCGGCAAAATTATCCGAATGCTGAAATCAGAAAGTCTAAATAAAAACTTATATGATTTACATGTATATAAAAGTTGAATAAGACTGATCTCTCGGATACTATTTTCTGAGGATATAAAAGAATTTAATTGTTTTTATTATACACTGTCTGCTTTAGTATTCAATATTCATTTCAATAGATTGATTGAAGCGAAAATATTTTATGTTTGACCATCGGCCGCATTCAACCAAAGTTACATAATTTTGAGGGGTTCTATATACAAATTGAGGAAGGACCTTACTTACGAATATTATTCTTACATGAAATTTTACAAGTCACGTACTATTTTTGAGGATATCCTCATAAAAGCTGCAAAAAATATTTTTATTTGAAACTTACGTAAAATTCTTATTTTTTGCGAGCTGTTCAAGTATGTCAAATAATAAACCACTGTAACTAATGATTGATCCCGATGCGTTTGGTCGTAAAATTGTCCATGGAGGATTCTGAAAATAAAATATCTATTAGCTTTAAATATATCTAATATTATAAAAGCTACAATCTTTTCTACATCATTTAATATATAAATATTTAAGACTTCAAATTAAACAAATTAATCGTGAATAATTCTTAGTTGCAGTTGTTTTTATTTTATACTCATAAAATCAAACTTACATGATAAGTAATAATAGGTAGCTCTTTCCCTCGGAACCCGTGTTCGATATGTGGGAATAAAACATCGTCAAATTTGATACCATCGATTGGACGCCATATACCAACCTTAACAAAATGTATTTAAAGATGAACAAAATTAAATTTAAAATAAACCACGACATGTAATTCGCCATTTTGTGGTCGCGGCTATCTTGGATTTGAAATTTATCATAGTGTATAGTATTCTACTAGTCAAGACCTTTCATTTGATACCCATATTGAGGGAGTTGTGAAGAAATATGTAATCCGCCATTTTGTGGCGGCGGCCATCTTGGGCTGATTTTCATCAAACATAGCTAAGAACACCCCCGACTAATTCGCTTTTCAAACAAAAAAAACCAAAATCAAAATCGGTTCATCTGTTCGGGAGCTACGATGCCGCACGCAGACACACAAACAGGTCGGGGGTTAAAAATAAAATTATCAATATAGAACACAAGAACAAAGTGTCTTCCCCTTAACTAGAGACTATAAGAAAAGTGCCATTGGACACATTCTAAGATATATTATTTTATAAAACTAAGTTAAAATTAAATTACTCATTAGCCTGTTTGGCTAGATCGTAATAATATTAGGTTACAATATTTTAGTATGTTACCTAGGAAAAAATTATTAATTATTATTTAATTGTACGTTAATACTCACATGTAGTAATTCAACATGTTCAATGACACTGGAGGTCCTGTTACTTTTAGTTACCACAGCTTTTTCCCCATAAGTGGTCCCCCAGGTGTCCGCGGCCAGCGCTCGCCACGAACTACAATTACCACACCTGCTTTTTGTCGTTATGTATTGCTAGAATTATAACTTTTTTTATTATTTGCACACTCTGTACATTGAATATTATGTATATTCGAAATATCTGCACAATCCAATGAAATAAGCTTTGATATCGAATTTTAATGATAAGGCTAAAATATTATAACTCACACAGCGTGTTATATCACACATTTTATAATTAACTTGCAACTTACACTCGCTTCGATCTGGTACGTCCTCGATTTTGTACAGCTATGAACATTTTATATTTTTTGAGTGTAATCCTAATTATTTTTTAATTCTTTCTGCCAGTAAAGTCCCGTCAAAATCAGTCCAGCCGTTTTGGAGATTAACCACAACAAACAGAAAGACAGACAGATAGACAAAAATTTTTAAAAATATGTTTTTCTTATATGTACCGCATATAATTTCTAGCTCGGAATGCAGTTCTACTGAGAAAAGCCGACGATTTCCATTAGATGTCTAACTATTACTGTTCATGTGTAACATTAAACTATTCTATTATAAAACCGTACAATTATTATAAAAGTGAAAGTTTTATGTATGTGCGTATCTTTGTTACTCATTGTTCACTAAATCAGTTAAACAGGTTTGTATGAAAATTAGTAATACAGTTTAGCTTTCAGCAACTAGAGACGCATCCAAGTGAAGCGACAGCATATATATATATATATATATATATATATATATATATATATATATATATATATATATATATATATATATGTATATTCATTATAGACTCTAAAGCGGCTGGCGCAATTTCGATAAAATTTTCCAGCAAGCTTCAGATTATCTCTCAAAAACCCATTAAGATTCAATAACCAACCTGCATATGCTTTAATAAAGTATCCCGTCTTTGTTCTTTGGTGGGTCGTATCGCTTCCCACTCCTCGTCCGACACTTGCGCCGCCACGTCGAACTCCTCCTGCACGGCCGAGTCGAGCGCGGATATGAACGCGCTCATCATTTCTTTAGCATAGCACAGCAGGCCGTTCTGTCATTGTTTTATTATAAATCGTATTGAATATGTACCAGTGGCGAAGAGTGAAATTTTAGCAGAGGTAAGTCGTTCCAAAAATATACAATTTTTATATACGTCTTAATGCAGAGGGAAATAAAGCTTATTATATATATATATATATATATATATATATATATATATATATATATATATATATATATATATATCCAAAAGAATTTATACATTTAATAAATTATATGTGTGTAAAATTATAGCAAAATAATTTTAAGGTAAGACGTCTTGTATGGACCCTTCGCCACTGATATGTACTTATATATCATTTAAATTTTAATCATTCATCAGTTTCTTTTTTTCCATTTTTTCTCAGAATTCAGGTGTTTTCTTTACAATTACTACGGATAATAAGAATAGGAAAAAAAATGAATTAGAAGTAGTAAACTTCATACCTTGCATTCCTTATCATTGTTCGTAACATTGAAAATATAAGCAATGTTCTCTCCTTCATACAAATCATTGATCAAATTGGAAAAGTTTTCGACTCCACTGGTATCTGATACGACATATAACCACTGTGCCTGTGTATGCGACATCACGAGATCTCGAGCCGTCTCTGCGATTGTTGTCATTACTGCTGCCGTCACTATTGCTATGAAATTTTCGCCTAAAACATTTAATCCTAGCTATTTTGACGACACGTTTGGCTGAGTTTGTAGTACCTACTTGCTGTGCCAGCAGTCGCGGGTTCGAGTCGCGCTGGGAGCATTCATTTGTGTTGTTTTGTACTCCAGTCATGGGTGTTCATATTTATAAGATGTGTGTATTTATAGTTATATATGTATAGTGTATCAACTATCTGGTATGCATAACACAAGCATTGTAGCTTACCATGAAACTAGATAGTGTTGTGTGTTAATATCCCAATATATTATTTACATATATCTCAATTAAATACCTGAGGATAAGATCAATGGACGCGATTACAGTGTATCGATTGATACAGTGTGTGTTTCGATTATAGTGTGTGTTTGTATATTTAATTCCTTTTTTTTAAATTGTTTATAAATGTTTAAGGCACGCATAGGATGTCATAAATGCTAAATCTAAAATTATTTATATTTTTAATTTTATCTTTGAACAGTTACACACGTTTCAAATATTATTATAAATAAACATACTATCACCAATTAATAAATATGAGTCTCATTAGATTTTTTCTAGATTTTAGTACCTACCTATATAACAAACCAACTGCATAAGCGTCTCGATTTATGCCGTATCATAAAAAAGAATTATATTTGTAGTGTAGATAATAAATAGAAATACTCAAGTGGGTGGACAGATGGCAGTTTAATCGTAATAATAATCATATAAACCCCATATATCTTAATATATGGGGTTCGGAAAGAAACACTTACTTTTAATACACTTTAAACCTGATATAGCTACAAACGATTATTTTAAAATCTTAAGTTAAACTTTAAAAAGTCTATACCTATATATTTTACTGGAAGCTTTGAAAGTACTCTGTAAATCTCTTTACGTCTCAAGTATTCGTTGACTTCGTGTTTCATTTTGAATACTGTCACAGATATAGACGGTGCGCCTTCGTTGTCTATTTGAGATGTTAGAGACTCAACTACTCGTGATATCATGTCTCTGTCTGAAATAAATGTTTCTAATTAAAAAAAAAAAACAAATTAAAAGCACATTCTTAAATTTTGAACATAAAATGCGTAAAATTTTCAGAAGATAACTTATATCTACACTGTATAATCAATATAAAAATTTCTAAAGAATAACGAACGGTTGCTTAATTTCCCAACCGCTCTTCTCAGCAATGACTTCGAACGAGACTGACTGTAAACATTTGGGTATTCCAAAAATAAAACAATGAACTAAACAATATCTCCTCTATACCATACTAACTTAATGTATCATCATGCAATATAACCGCTGATTTCCAACGAATGGCTTTTTGGGTTCTCAAATCCAAGAACATCTGCGGTAGCTCCTGACCTGAATCGGCAAACGTCACCGTTATAGCCGAATCTGTTGGTAGACGAGGACAGTCGACTTCAGTCAAAGCAAATAGCAACAGTTGTTCTTCTTCAGTCCGTGAAAAGAGTGACCACGTGTCTTCACACGATGCCACACTGAAGACTGCTAAATAGCCTGTGAAATTAAGCAAGTGTAAAAGGCATTTAATTAATTATGACACTGCCACTATAAAAGCGAAAGTTTGTACGTCTTTTACTCCTTCACTTTGATTTGAATGAAATGTAGAACACAGATGGACTATGGCCTAAAGTAATACATAGGCTACTTAGGGCCTAGTTAGATTTAGGGGCGCTTTTGAGTAACTAATACTGTACCAATTTATTTTTTAAGCTCAATAATTTCAAACAAATAAATATTGTTTAAACAACCCACAGAAACTTGTCATATTTTAATACTTGACGTTTATTATTGGTCATAATAGTAAATGGGCTTTAAGTAAAAACTAACGATACCCGAATCAGAATTAATGTCAATTTGTACTAAATTTCGATTCAAACTGAAGGGAAATTGAATGAAATTATGAAAAACTACAAATAGAATTTATTATCAAAATGGAAAAGCATATTTGTTAAATAAACTACTTGATTTGTTGAACATTTTAAAAAATGTAGCCACCATTTCATAAAATTCAGTTACTAGAATTGCAAAATCTGTACTTTATAAAATAAAGTGCTCATCTGACATTTTAAAATTGTTTACATTCAGCCCTTTTCGCTATTTCCTCTATAATAAACGAAAACGACTTAACAATTTTAACCAAACTTGTACAAAGATCAATCGGGCGATAATGACATGTAGCTTTTTCAATACATTACAGGATTCAGATTTAGGAGGTTTTTTACTAGTTTCACTGGCGGGTAGAGGAGGATTTACATAAAAGACACATTTAGTTAATTATAATGAAAATCAGGACTATATCATCTAGATTTTTAAGTCCGGAACATCGAAATATAACAAAAATAACGATTGAGCCGAGTTTGATGTTGTGAATAAATAAAAAAGCTAAATAATCAAAATATTTTTTAAGCGCTACCTTTTTTAAGACTAATTGCTGTCCAAGAAAAGTAATGTACGTTGACTCCTCCATGCTTAAGCTCAACTCGCGCCAGTTCTTTGATATAGTCTTTTAGTTCGTCCATTATTGTTTGATATTCTTCTCCTAGGAACTGCCGGTCTAACACTACGGCTGTAGAGTATACGTGGACGTGATAAAAAAATTATAAAAAACTATACTTCACTGAGGTACTTAATTACGTATTTTTTATCGAATGTACAAAAAAAAATGGTGACCTCAAGCTCTAAAATTTCGCTATGTTTTAATGCAGATTATACACCTAACAAAAAGGTGCCATGAGAATCGTTCCAGCAATTTGTTATGGTGACTCATAGTCATCAGACTCACCACTCACACAGATCGACAATGTTATGAAAATTAAAAAAATATTTAAGAACAAATAATTGATAATACGAGCACATCCTAAATAAAATAATTTGTTTATGCTATAAACAAATTATTTTATTATGAAATGATTTAGAAGTGGAATTTGAAAATATCACTTTTTAGTTATATCTTTAATCAATAATAACTATATTTCTTCAGTGATTTACACTTATTACCTATAGAAGCATTTGCCGTTATTAAGGATGGAAAATCCTCTGCCAAACCATATCGAACTAAAACACACATTACAATCCATAACTTCATTTTTACGACACACAAGCACTCTTGCACCGTTTATATATGAAATTCCAGTCATAATTCGCGTAAAAATTAAGTTTTCCAATCAAAATGCCTTGTTTTATTCAACGTTTAATTACAACCATGGGGAGGATATGTGGGCCATGTTAACATTTCATGTAGACGCCGTGAAGTTGGAATTGCTGGTGAGGTTTTGTGAAGTGCTTTGTTAGAGAAAATAACTCTATAGGGTGCTATATCAAAGTTAAATTTTAATTTTTATTTTCGCTTACGACATATTACTCTATTAGTTCCATATACAAAATTCTTCAATTGAACTAAAAAATATATCAATAGTTAAGTAGAGTATCAAGTTTTTTATATTTCGCGACTTAGGTATTGTTTTATTACAATAAGTCGAGATTATTTTGAACACATTGCAACGTAATACAAACATCATCTCTTATCTTAATTACGAATATGCCCAAATCTAATTCGTAAGTAGGTCACACTATCCTTTCTGCTGTGACGGACAGAGTCAACAAAGTCAAAATAAAGTCTAGCTAATTGTTCTGTGCTAGATATGAGATATCCATGTTTTTAGATCGCTTATCATATTGGGTATTTTAACTTAAAACAATAATCAAAAGGTAACATATATAATAGCGATCAGACGGCTATCTGTAATTCCTCTCTTACCAAGTGTATCTGTTATTTTATAGCTTAATATTTAATGTATGGAAAGGGGATCATTATAAGTAACTAAATTCGATTATTGACGACACTATTAAATAATTTCAAAGTATAATTTGCATTGGAAGTACATCTAATATTAGATAACTTATTTTTAAACTAGCAGCTCACTCCTAGGCTCTCGGGTTCGTTCCTAGTGAAAGACAAATTTATTGCGCTTGAACTGTACATTTTTCGGGATAATAAATAGCCTATATGCTATTCCAGACTATAATCTGTCTCTGTGCTAAATTTCATTCAGATCCGTTCAACCGTTCTTGCGTGATTGAGTAACGAACATCCATCGACACAAACTTTCGCGTTTATATTATAGTATGTAGTTTATAGTAAGATTAAATAAGATAAAAATTGAGAGATAGTTCAACGAACGATGACGGTAAGTATGATATTTACACGTTGCATAGAAGATCTTATTAAACAAGCTCTTGAAGAAACCCTGGTTGTAGCACCCAATGGAAAACTAAGAGGAAAATCATTCCACAGCTTGCACGTGCTAGATAGAAATGAGCGTGAGACAGATGATAAAAATAAAGGAAATATCGTAAGACAATATTTTTTTTACTTTATATGCATATCTACATATGTTAATACGTTCCACAAGATTATTCATGTATTAGAAATATAATGTATAGAAATAATAAAATAAAACATCCTATAAATGCTCTACAAGAAATTCGTGATAGGTTATGTTTATAAAAAATTCAGAATAAGGATTACAAAATAACACCCGATCGTACTCTACGTCTACTAAGTAGCACAGCTCAATTTTCTCATCAACGGGAAAAGATAATTTTCATTGACAGTTTAATGATCACACGATACTACTATTAAATATTATAATACTTAGCAATATTTATTCATTAGTATTTTAAGGGCCTAGTATCTACGAGGTTTAATAAACATGGTTGGACTTGAATAATTTTTTACCTTTCTCATTATTCTGACCATGTACAATATTATTGATAACTGGTTAAAATCCATATTTTATTACTCTTTCCATTTTTATAAATATTCTGTCTTTATAAATGAATGTTTTGATCCCACTATCTTCGGGAATAAAACGCTAAGGGGACAATAGAGCAGCTCTCTACATTTTGCGATCGATCCCCATACGTAAGTTGAAAATGAGATTTTTTGTTTGTAGATATATTTTTGAGCAAAATTGTATAAGAGAAAACATGTACCTGTATTATTTAAAGTACATATAAAATGTTCTAGAAACTTTTTTGTTATTGTAGTTATACAAAACAATGTTGTTTTATATAAGGCTAAAACAGCTGTGATAAAAATGATAAGGTTTAGGGGTACAATTGTATCAGTCAGGGCTCCAGCTCTGAACAGAGCAACACCAAGGAGGAAAAAAAGTGTGTTATGTACGTACGTAAGAAGTTATATTTCTTTGTTTGTTTTTAGAGCATTTAAATAAGTTTGTTTTTTAAAATGTTTAAACTTATTTTTTAATGTTTTTTTTTTTATTTTTTTTTTCATATTTTTCTAAGCAAACCCTTTCATTTGATATCCATATCATGGGGGTGCATAAAAAAACAGTCTGCCATCTTTGGAAGTCCGCCATATTGGATTTACAATGACGTCATTTTGTTTATTGTGTTTCGCTCATCAAGCCCTTTCGTTTGATATTATCAATATCATGGGGGTGCATAAAAAAAACAGTCCACCATCTTTTCGAGTGCACTCCCCCCCCCTCCCCCTCCCATAATGAATTTACACCATCTAACGGCTAACTCTACCACCGCCCGCGCTCATTGGTCAAATCCCCGGCTTCCTGTTACACACTTCCGTCCCTTTACACAAAATCACTCCCACAGATTGCAGGAAAGCGAGAGGTATGCCGTATGATGTAGTAAAAAAAAGTGAAATAGTCTTAACCGTAAAAGTCATCTACCACAAACGAGTGTGTCAATTAATGTTTATGATGTGAAAATTAAGGAATGTATAAAAAGTTTATTTTAACAAGCAACCTTTTTTTCTTGACGTTAATATTATTACAAAATGATCCCAATAGATTTGTTCGTCATTAGTTAGCATAATTTAAAGTCCAGACGCACGGTCCGTATACAAAAACTCTAACAACATTCAAAACTCTTCAAACTAACCTTAGCGCAATTTAATTACAATATGAAATCCAATTTTACGTTAAATGGTTTAATTAGAGTAAAATAAACATAATAAGAGATTTCAGACGATACATAATATCATACTGCGACTACTGTTATAATTAGCTCGCTCGTTTTCTTTTTTTTACTAAATCTTTTCTCTAGTTTCGATGCCTTAGATAGCTTAAGCTCGCTGATATCAATATCTTATCGGAATTAATTTCAGAATGTAATTAAAAACTCGTACAATCCATGGACATACTTTGTTCATTTCCAGCTAATAGAAAAAACTCTTTTCTGGTCCCTGGATAGACCTAGAACCAATTTTATCTCATTGCATTGGTGTCCGTAGTATTCTCCAAAAATGATATCAGATATACCTTCGTGACTTTTAGCAATCCAGTAACTCAGACTAAAAAAAAGGTACTAAACTTTTTTTATTTGGTCTGAGTCCAGTAACAGTTTCCGTCAAAATAAAATAGTCCAAGATCCCAGGGCCGCCAGACGTCATGTATTTTCTGACGAACGAAATGTGGACGATTGAGTAGTGTTAGTATGTACTAAGATCGCATGCCTACCTTTTTTTTTTTTTTTTTAACGTTGGGAAATGCATTTACGCACGACGTGTGGGACTCACCGGCGTAATACTGCCAGTACTACCCACTAAAACCCAACAAAACCTTCCCCCGTCTTAATGGGGCGTCGCAGGATCGCTTACGCATTCAACTACGACGCCCCGACGGCAGGTCTGCCGAAGCAGACCACCACAACCATGGGGTTGCTCCACAGTCCACTCTGCTATCAGAGAAGTACCAGGAGCAACCCGCATGGTACACCGCCCCCCGAAGAGGGCCACCTCCCACCGCCCACCGAAGTGGGCAACCTCCCTGTGCGTTTCTTAGCTTCGCGCCCGGTTGGGTTGCCGGGCACTACTGAGCCCCCCCACCACGACAAGGTGAACGCACGTTGGGGGGGATCGCATGCCTACCTGCTAACTTGGTTAGACGGCCAATTTCCAGGTATCTGGTAATCAAGGTACCTCAAAAGATTACTTACCTCACGAACATTCTCCAAGCTGATTTTCACGTATATTTTGGACAATATCGTTAAAAATAAGTCGTCAATACTCCCAGACACTTTCCGTCGGCCGTATTGCTTTGCAGACGCTTTAAAGGTCCCAAAATAATTACTTAACTTCACGTAAATTCTGATGCTCCATTTTTATATATGTTCGCCAGACAACTATTTTAAAACCTTCTACAAGAAGACAGACCGATCCAAGGAGCCAATCATCCCCTAAACTCAATTTTAATGCCTCTGTGGGTAGGAATCATTTTATAATATATACATATTTATTTCCTATATAACTGTGTAAAAATCATTGATATAGGGTTTTATAAATCAATGGTAAATTATATAAAATTTAATTTTTATTTTCAAAAATAAAACTAATTTTTTAGCGTAGTTTTATTTCTGCACATTTCTCTGTCACTTAGTTGACTTTGACAGCACTGTGTTTGTAAATAATAAATACACGTCAAGCACCAACACAAGCACTTTTCATCAATTTAATTTTCTTTCACAATCAAACATGCAACCAAAATATGAGAAAATATTTATAACTGTTGGAACAACACGCTTTGATCTATTATGTAGTTATGTTTTATCACCACCGGTACTTCACGCTTTAAAAAAAATAGGATGTAAAGAGATAACATTGCAAATAGGGAATAGTGATGTGAATCCGGGCGATTATGAAAAAGAAGGTGTAAAAATGCACCTTTATAGATTCAAAGATTCAATAAAGCAAGATATGTGTAATGCAGATTTGATCATAAGTCACGCAGGCGCTGGTAGTTGTTTGGAAGCATTGGACGCCAATAAACCTCTTTTAGTGGTAATTAATGAAGATCTTATGGATAATCATCAGTTAGAACTAGCTGATCAATTGCAAGTAGATGGAAATTTGTATTACTGTACTTGCGATACATTAATCAGCACACTGGAAACTGTAGATTTTAGCTGGTTATCACCAATGTCAAAGCCAACACCACAAGCCTTTGTCAACTTTTTAGATAGTGTTTTTGTTGTTAAAGAGCACACACAATGATATTTTTCTACTAAAAATAAAATAGAATCCTATATAAATACTATATTTGATTCAAAATTAATTGTTTAGGATAAGAATAATAAAAAGTATCAAGTCTTAATGTTTATATTTAATTAATCAAAATTGTTTAACACATTTTTTAAAGTTGTACAAAATATAAAATAGTTGTTAATTAGGCTAGTCATTATATTTTCATATGTATGTATAAAGTATATTTTCTAAACTATTTGTGATTTACATTCTTACTGGTTCTGTCCAGTAAATTTATTTTAATAATTGCCAAATATGTCATTGTATATTAAATACCTCTTACTTTGTAACAGCAAATATATATTTTTTATTTAATGTATGATGTTATAAATAAATAATAAATTATGTACAATATTTCCCATTGGATCCATAGCTTAATATGTTATTTTTCTTTATTTTAATTAATAAGATTTTAACAAAGAGGGTTGATGTCAGGCAGGCAGCCGGGCGTAAAACTTTTGAGAAATCCGATCAGCAGTACAGATGTACTGCTCCAACCCCAAGTAATTTAGGAAATGGACAGGAGGATGATGATGAATACTTTTTTAAATTTACATGACTATTTGACATTTTAAATATAACATATCTTTTCAGTTTTTTCACAATTTTTTTCTTTAATTTTTGGTTTCGGACATTTAGAATGCTTTACAGCTATCATGGTTACGGAGACTAATGTACTGTCTGTAAAAACTAATATACCAATACAATATAACTATAATTATGTTTGAGTCGTCTAAAACTTTAGTCTCTCCCATATGACCATAATTGCTGTAAAGCATTCACAACATTGGGAACCAAAAATCAAAATAAAACGGTTAAAAAATCTGAAAAGATAGTTTTATTTAAAATTATCATGTTTTATATTTCATATAATAAGAAAATAAATATTTACTTTACACTTATCGCGTTTTATATTTAAATTGTTACATTTACTATAGTGAATACAATTTTTACACAAAAAGAAAAACCAAGAAATTAAGAAAAAATTTTATTGAAAAAATGCAAATCACAACAAAGATGATTCTGTTAAAAAATCTGAATTCATTTCATAGAAAGTGACATTTTGAATATACTTAAATAGAAAACTGTATATATGACTAAACATTTATTTTTATATTTTTTAGACTAATTTCTTAGCTTCAAAGAAACTCTTCAGATGTCTCATTTGCCAATATCCAATTCCTACAAGCACTCCAGTCTGAAGCAAACTCCACCACAGCACTCTTTGATTTGTGCTTTCTGAAGTCTGTCGGAATCTCTCTTCACGGTGCTAGAAATGAAACAATATATTTTATTCACATTTCTCTTGTCTTGTAATTTAAAAACTAAAATATAATATAGTTTTAAAAAAAAAACTTGATAAAAACACAAAGGTATAATAACCTATTTGTACAATTAAAGTATCTATATGTGACTTTAAAAACATAACTATCCTATAATGAGCTCATATAAAGGATCCATGTAATTTGACAAGATGGGCTATTCAAAAAAGAAAAATAGTAACTAAAAGGTATGGAGGAAAAATTTTAAATTAATTTTTACTGGTAGACAGTTAACAGAGAACAATTTACTACTTCTAACTAAAAACTAAATTAAGACATATTTACCCTCTGGTAGCTTTGTTCTTTTGTAATTTGGTGCACTTGGTCTAATAATTGCCGGATTCTTAGCTGTAATTCTGTAAGTTTATCCTTTTGTGCTACATTAGCATAATCCACAGCATGTTCACCAACTTGAATGTCCAAGTGAACCTTTAAAACAAATATTCTTGTTTCAAATGAAAGCAATTAATATTTAAATCCTATACTAACAATGTGTGAAATCTAGAAACCTTTACTAAAACTAGTAAATTATAAAATAAATTATATTTGCACAAGTGTGGCAGTGGCAATTAAATACATTTAAAAGCAAAACCCTCAACATGTATTTAAATACATATTAAAACAGCTAATTCATTATATTCCTTAAAATATGAGTTTAAAATTTTTATGACTTACTCTTAGTTGAGATCCACTGAACCAAGATGTACTATTTGAGTACATACAAATAACATGTTCTCCGGGAGTGGTTGAAGTGAAAGAGATCATACCCTCAGAAGAGTATACTCTAGAGAGCACTACTCGATCATTAGGGTCTCGCACTTCCACGTGCATACCGATACCAGGAGACGAGGGCATAAAACCTCCTGATCTTGGATCATAGAGCTCGACTTTGTAATTTACTGTAAAGTGTATGTAATGATTAATATAATATAGTCGTTTATTTCAACAATGCTCATTTTTTTCTATTATAATAGGACTACGATATAAGATTAATCTACTGCATTACCTATTACAGTTGTGTCGTCCGGTATCTCCTCTATAAAACATTTTCTCTCTCCTTCTGCTATGTGGAAATATAAAGCAGAAGTAACATCTAAAAATAATAAGAGAGACACTAGTGAAGCTACATTAATTAACACCATGTTATAGTAAATACTGTAGTTGCCGAAAATCTAAGCAAATTCATGAAATGATTGAAATCTCAAGTGACATGACACACGTCATCTGAAAATATTTTTATAAACCATTTTATTGGTGCATTCAACAGCTGATAAAAAAATTATGCATACAATTTTTAAAGTAATATATACATGGATATCTTTATATTTATGAATTTTATCGAATTTATATCATATGTAATGTATGCATTACTTGCTTCTATTATAAAATTTGTCACTATTTTGATCGCATCATCAAAAGAGAAAGATGTTGAATGTTGATGTCAGATGACAGTAATGAATGACGTTTCATTTTAAATGACTTTGTGTACAACTAAATGTTATTTAGCTTATTTTTAAATGAAAAACATGCTGCTTACTTTAATTATTTGTTACTATAGAAATAAATAAAAATAACTATCTTATATATTTCATTTATATATTTGTAGTTTTTTTTTCAAAATCAAATATAATACATCAACATCTAAAAATATAACCAATTACCATGGACCCGTTTATTATTGCAGCAATTATTAGTGCTATCGTCATTATCGTATTAACAATTGCATTTCTACGAGTGACACAAGTTAGACAAAGTAAAGATTAACTAGTTTCTATAATAATTATGAAAAATAATCCTAATCGCTCAATTGTTTTATTTTCATACTATTGTTACAGCGGGAGCAAAGCCAAGAGCTGTAGCGCAGAGAGATGGAGCCCCTGGAAGAGTCCAAGCTGTCAGAAACCAAAGGGCAAGGATGAGAGCAAATGGTATATTGAATTTTTTTTAATATTTTAAAAAGCTAATAAATTTCTGTATAAAATTTGCTAGTTAATGTTAGTTATTTTACTATTAAGTAAGTAATCTATTTATTGTTAATTTAAACATATACATACTGCTAAATAAGAAAAGAAAACATACTGTTTATGTATATAAAAATAAGGGTTAAAAAATGTATTATCCTATTCTGACGTACATTCTGATAGCTGCTAGACATCAAGCAGCACTAATTGAAGAAGAACCAGCAATAGCTGAAGAAGAAGAAGAAGATACCATTCCAGAAGCTCCAAAAGAATTTGATGACAAAATGGGAGCCAAGGTATTTAAATTTAAATGAATTCCCTTGAACAAATCTTTAAATAAATTATTTTGAAAATCTTATATCTATTAACATTGTATTGTATATTATAATCTCGTTATGCTTAGTTTTATCTACATATAAAAAGGTATGTTTATACTAACAGTGCGGTGCACCGTACATGTCATTTTGTGATACAAACACAAAATTCAACCTACATGTTACACATTACTACTATACATTACATTCAAAGAGGAAGACGGTCTTGAAAATGCCAACATTTAGATATTATTTCATCCTAATAGTTTGTTCTTCAAAATATGTAAATTGATTTATTACAATAATATTATATTGTTGCTTTAAAAATAACTTTTACCATTATATTACTATTTTTCTCCTATTCAGAAAAGGGCTAAATTAGAAGCTAAGATGGAAAAAAAGAAGGCACGCGAAGCTGAAGAACAAATGCGGGAAATTAAGAAGAAGCGAGATGAAGAAATGGAAGAGGAAAAGAAGAAAGTTGAGGAGAAACGAGAGGTATATGTTTATTTTAATAATAACAATCAAACCTTTATTGATGCAAAAGTAGATATTTATGAGATTGATAGTCTATACATATAATAAAATTGTAACTAAGCCGAATCTGTACATTAAATATATTTTGGAAAATCTTATTGAAATAAACATTATTATCGATACAGAGACCAAATCTATAGTTTTAGAATTTCTGTCTGTCTGTTACCGCATCACGGAAATACCACTGGACGGATTTTTATGAAATTTGATATAATTATAGCTGATTATCCGGCTCAACATATAGGATACTTTTTACTGCGGGAAAATATCTCATTTCTGAGAAATCTATACTAAATGTTATAACGTAAGTAGGGACGAACCCAAGCAGAAGGAGGGTGAGTCGCTAGTAGTTTAACAATAATAGAATGTTATCAGCAATCTGGTTTTTTTACAGCTTCTTCATTAGGAAATCGGCCTCCTTTAAGGATTTTTATTCTTCGCAAACTCGTCTTCTGGGGCCATATTATACCAGGCGTTATTTGGAAATTATCTTATTTACATTATCTTACTATTTAGCTACCCTTTGCGGGTATGTTGTTATACACCGTCATATAATTAATCCCTATTATAGTCTTCTCATTGCATATTGTGCTTGTAAATGAAAATCCATGTGCAACCAGGCACTGTCACCGTATTATAGTTTAATTGGCAATGATATACCAAATAGTTTGTGAAAGGTTTTTGATAGTGGTAAATAACTAATGAAATGTAAACAGCGCCATCTATGAATATGTAGTACAAACTTATTACGTAATGGCAGATTTTTTTAATAATTAGTAAAATGACTATTAAAATTTTATAAATTATTTTATTAATTAAACAAATCAAAAATCACACCTACCTATTGACATTTTTATTAAACTTATTTTTTTATTGCTGATGAGATAGATATTAATATGTAGATTTAACTTATTTCAATATTATAATTTCACCTATCAGGAAGAAGAACGTAAAGCAGAGGAGGCAGCACGCAAGATTGAAGAAGAACGGAAGAGGAAGGAACAAGAAGAATATGAAGCTATGAAAGCTGCTTTTTCAGTGGAAGGCGAAGGTTTCGATGAAAACCCAGAAGAAGATAAGGAGAACTTATTGAAGGAATTCATTAACTATATTAAAGTAAGTATTGTATTATCACCGTTATATTATCACAACCTACATATTTCTAGTTTTTAATCATATATATCAGATATATCATGAAAATATCGTTATAATTAATGAAATAAAAAGATCCCGGTGGCCTAGCTAGCTATGTACGATTGAAGGTCCTGGGTTCAAGTCTCGGGTTGAGCAGACAAATTCAGTTATTCTGTCAAATTTCTCAATTTTCATTTTGATTCAAAATTATATTAAAAATCTTTTCAGGCACAGAAAGTAGTGTTATTAGAAGACCTTGCAGCACACTTTAAAATAAAGACTCAAGCAGCTATCGACCGAATAACCGATCTTCAGTCAAGTGGCTATTTAACGGGTGTTATCGATGACAGAGGGAAATTTATTTACATATCGCAGAAAGAATTAGAAGATGTCGCGAAATTCATAAAACAAAGAGGACGAGTGTCAATAACAGATTTGGCTGAAAGTAGCAATGACTTGATCAATTTAAACCCTGTTACAGTAAAATAAGTCATATTACATGTCAAGTACTCACAATTATTATTATAGCAAATGAAATTAATTTGTTTACTTAATTGTATAATAAATATTTTGTTATCATTGAGCTTTTATTTTCTGATAAATAGTAATTTAAAAATAATTTGAAATGTTTATGGTTAGAATAGACATAAACCATTGAGGGACATTGTCTTCAAAATCAAATTTAATTTAATTTTTTTTGAGCAGAACTCTTATTCTTTTACTGAAATAGTTACTCATTATAACATCAACTACCTGCCAATAAAAGCCCCGTCAAAATCGTCCCAGCCATTTTGGAGATTAACCAGAACAATAGACAAAAATTTTAAAAATTGTGTTTTTATAAATACGATATATAATTCCATATGCATTTAGTATAAAGCTGTTATTTTGACATTACAAATAGAAAATTTCATTTATCTCTATAGATTAAATCTAAACTGAGATGACTTTCGTTAAAATTAAAAGACTTCACTCAAAATTGTAAAATGTATTAAAATAAAAGCAATATATTAATCATTTAGTTCATAACCAAGAATGTCTCTTCCTTTTTCTAACAATAGCAATGAGGATTCTTTGATCCTTTCTAATACTTCCAGAAGTTTATTTTTCGTGAACACCTTGTATAATCCGCGGTTTTCACCAGCAATCAAATCACTTATTATGACGGCTTCTCTGTGGTTTTCAATATCATCGTTACTTTGCAAGATTTTCAGTATCAAAACTGTTATTTCTGGAATACACAGGCGTCTTAAAGTATTTAATTGCTTAGTTCTTTCATCATGTTCTTCTTGAGTGAAGCTACGAGACTTAACGCTATCACTCTCATCCTGTAGCCAACCACCAGGGAACAGTAAAACATTGTATAGAAGATTTTTGGTGTGTCGAGATTGATGAAGAACAGCATTTTTCCATCTAGCCTTTTGCTGTTCCACTTGAGCACATCTTTGCTCATGATGTACTTTATCAGAGAACGAAGCATCTGGCTGTAATGGCTCTATATCTTTTGGTTGACCGCTTATGTAATGTCTGTACCAAGTTGCAAACCCTTCTATTGCCTCTAAATAAGATTTTAAACACAAATGTTCTCTCAATTCTGACGAATCAGTTGGGATGCTTTTCACAAAATCTTTAAACATCTTATTGATACTGTTCGCACATTGTAAGGCGGCATCTGTATTCCCAATAAATATGAATGTGCGTATCATAGCATTGCTTAGCCATAATGCTTCTTCAAGTTGATTTGGTAATAAAGAAAGCCATTCTAGTGAAGATATAACTTTTGTGATCAGTGTCTTATCCTTTTCTATTGCAGATGTTTGAGTGAATGTTAAATCTACATTTCCATAACCTTGCTGTATGTCTGCTATAGCCTTTTTAATGGCAACCCTAGCAGATGCAGCCACATCAACACCAGCTCTAATGCCAGCTTTGACGACATCATCTCTCTGTTCACTTTTTTCAATGTGATCCATAAAATCAGCATACAAAACAATCTGCTTATCAACAGGAACTGTTGAAGTATAGTATGCAATAAGTTCAGGGCATTCACAAGAACCTTCAGCTAAGTTACGAATTAGTTGAGTCACATATTTCTCCAAAACTTTATCTCCAATATCATGCTGAGGATCTTTACCCATCTGTCTCAGAACAAGTACTAAGTGTGCTAAAAATCTTATGAACCTTTCTTCAGAACTATCAAGCCACTCCAATGCATCTTGCATTATGGTTCTGACATGACCTAGCATAAGATGGCGTTGACAAGTTTGATAATTTGATTCCCTTTTACCATTCATCAAAGATTTCACAGCATTAAATACTTCTTGTAAAGACAATTCATCAATCTGTAATTCACTTTGAAGCAGCTCCAAAACATCAGGTGTTGTAGTGTTGGCTTCGGCTGTTGCATAATGTTCATGCAAAAATTTATCAACCCTCGCTTCAATTTGTACCCTCAAATGTGCCCATAATAGATCTTCCCAATTTCCTTGACAAGCTGTCAAGGCACTTTGTAAATGACCACATAAGATTCCAACAGTAGCTCGATAATGTATATTCTCTGAGACATTATTAGCTATACCTAAGGCACACCACTTCCACAGATCTCTAGATGAATTCCCAGAAACCTCTAATGTACCTTCAACATCTCCTGGTTTATAGTGTAATAGCTTCCAGCCTTGCAATACGGCACCCCGCCAAGCCTGTCCAGAATTGATACACAAGGAAACAGCTTCAGTAAACTTCCCACATCGAACTTCTGTGAAAATTTTCTTGCATAAGTCATAATCATCTTTCTTATCATCAGAATGAATAATTTTATTTTGCCGGTTTGGTGCATCTGGGTCCATACATGTAATCATTGCTTTGTTTGTATCTTTATTAAATAAACTAGAGCCTATTAGTAACTGATGTAGAGTATTACCCCACTGAATGTTATTTGCAATGATTGGAGCAGCGGTATTTGTTGCTTCTTCCTGGTAAGCTGCTGTAGCTTCTAACCAATCAACAAGCAATTGCAATAACCGAACTTCAGCTTCGCTTTGAAAATAAGCTCCTACTAAAGTTTGTTGTGATAATGTCGGTTTTACCAGAATATTTTCTAAGGAATTTGGATGCTCATGTATTGAATCAGCATACAAACAATGTAACAGCTTCCATGTGTTGGCTTCTTCTGCAAGCCAATAATTTTGAGCATTATACCTATTCCATGGTTCAACAAGCTCAAGTGAATCACAGCAAACTTGAGCTAACCTCTCTAGCGTATTTAAAACTGCGCTAGGTCGACTGGATTGTATTATTTCAAAAAAAGCTTCGTTTAATCCATCTCCCGCATTACCATTATTTACTAATATTGACGATTCATCCAATACTTGTCGTAAACTGGTATCGTTAAGAGTTTTGAATAAAGATGTTTCGTTAAGAATCGGCGTAAGATTTAATGTGTCTTCTCTTCCCAATAAATGTCTAACTTTTTTGCTATTAAGTGGTGTTCTTTGTGTAGAATGTAACTGAAGGCTGCTATCAAAACTCATCTTGAACGTTCAAGTTACACGAAATACGAATTTATTGAATTATCTAGTGACTGAAACTGTTTACGCATTCCGCGCCGCGGCTTTTTTGACAGTTTTATATGAAAATGAAATAGATAGCTGATAGACTATAAATACCTATTTAAGTAGTTAAACCATGAAAAATAATCCTGTCTTAATTTTTAAATATTATCAGTATACTCGTTGGTGTACTAACGAATAAAATTTACAATATTACTTATTACAATTACATTTTATACTAACGCCGAAATCCTTTGGTAAAAAATTAAAAATAACTTGTGTACAAGCCTTACAGCTACTTTACTTTTCAAAGCGATACTTCTCAAGCGGGTTTTTCTTTTCAAGATAATTTTATTTTAACAATGTAAGAATAATCTTATTCATTTTATTTATTATAAAACTATAAATAAATATTTATTCTTAGAATAATCAATTTTGTTATTGACATTAATAAATTCACAAATATAATTAGTTCAAATTGCATTATTTTATATTTGAACGTCAGCCAAATTTAGATTAAAATTCACTCTCTTCTTTTTTGCCCCCTCCTTCATTATTAATATAAATCATCTTTATATCTAAAGGTAAGTTACTAATATTTAGTAATGTACATACCTATATTTCATTATTTTATTATCCAATATTCTTCTATTATTATTTAGGTAGAAAAGTAATATATATTTTAAACTGCTCTCCTTTTTTTAATTCTTATTTTATATATATGCTTAAAAGGAGGAAACTAGTTGCTTTTGCTTTTTTTTAAATTATAGACTTTGTTAGGGCCAAGTAAGAATTAAGAAGTAAGTATAAAAAAGTAAACTCTTGCTAACATTTTTGGTATTATTTTGGTACTTAATAGTCCTGTTTGTTAATAATAGGTGAATGTACTGTGTCTATGTAAGTTTTTAAAGTTAAACATTAATTTTATCTTAAAATATTTTAGGGACATTATATTTATCAATACCAATGAAAATGAAACATATCCATGACTAACACAAAGAACTAAAAAGTGTTTCCAAATAAAAGATGTTATTGCTTAACTTGTAAATGTTACTTTTACTTTGACTGATTAAACTAATTAAATTATTATGAACACAGTCAAGATAGTAAAATTAAGTATTTTTTATAAAACAATTTAATATTTTAAATTGCCAATTATTATTGAAATAATTATTTATACTACTTTGCAACCTCATGAGCACAATGCAAACACCAAGTATAATTTTACAAAGTATTAGAATTAAATCATTATTTTAATTAAATAATTGTTTATATTATTTTAACAAATTACGCTTCCAGGTACTATTACATAAAAAAATATATTGACCCGAATCGAATTTATAAAAATTTAATTAGCATGATTTAATGAGTATTGCTATAAGATGCAAACCGTATTAATATTTTATAATGTCCTATGTTTATATATGTATAACATATTTTTATCATTTATATGTATTAAAATAATTATTGTAGACAAAAAATATTGTTCTGATTATTTCAATAAGTAAAAAGTTATTGATATGTCATCAACAGGTACTGTTTAAATGGTTACTACTTTAGTTCAGTTTGATTAAAATTACTTTCCTGCAAACAAATAATAACCGTGTCAGTTATTTCAATTATTAATATTATAGCATTCATAAAGTTATCTACTATTTTTATTACTTATATCATACACAGTATACACATATATGATATATGTAAGTCTTATTGAATCAGCTAGCTTCAGATGCATAATATTGTATAGCAAAATAATAAATATATAAAAGATTAAAGATAATGGAATATTCATAATTTTTTTCATTGACAATAATGACATCTTGTACAGTATTTTCTGTCATTTGCTTGTCATATTTAGTCTCCAAGTTAAAAGACCTTTGAAAATCTAATTGTGCTAAATAGAAAACTATTCATATTTTGCTTTTATGTCTATCAATTTTAGGCAAACAATGCGGTGCAAAGTGAAGGAAAGTAATACCTCTTTAGACAATATGAGGAAACCAGCTCAACAAACAACTTATCTTTATTATGTTAGAAAGGTGAGATTATAAAATTATTTTTTAAATTATATTACTTTCATTAGTATAAAGCTAAACCATTGAGATATTTTTGTGACTAGGTATTCTTACTTAAGGCAATTTATATACTATGTGTGCTCTGCATAATTGATGTGTGAAATTATTTTATATTCCTCTTTTAAGTAAAAATACAACTGAATTTAACAGGAAAATAAACATTTCACTATTCAATATTCAATTCACAATAAGAGTGGCATAAGTTAAGATTACTTTTTTATACAATTATATGAATCTGCCTGTTACAGTCTATTGATTATAAAACAAATGACTATTAAGTTTCAACTAAGTAATTAGGATAATATTATATTTTAATAACTTTACATGCTAGGAATTTAATAAAGTATATATATTATTCTCTTAATATTTACTCGTTTTCATTTAAAGTTGTAAATATACTAATTTAATATATTTTATTAATAAATATCAGTTAAAAAATAATTATTTACTTTATTAATTAAAATGAAATGTATATAAAATATTGTGTTGTATTATGACGAAAATATGATGCTGATTGCCAGTAAATATATTGCTTTGGATGTTAAATTGCGATTTGCGAATTGATATAAAAGATGACTTAAAGTGTAACATTATAAAAATAATGAAGTGCCAAGTTTAAAGGTAATTATTTTCGCATTGTATTAAACTGCGTAAATTGGGACGTACATTGCATTTACGAGTAACGTTACAGATTATGAAGAATCAAATTGAGTTAAATATTATTCGTATAGATTTATATAGAAATTTAAACTTTAAAACTTTTTTATTTATATTTTACACAAAATTAAGCTATTATAAAATACGACACAAGTATATTTACTATATTCGTAAATGCTTTTGAGCTTGTCAACATCACAACTATTTAAATTATATGGAGAATATTTTTACTTCGATAATTTTGCTACTAATCATTTATGAATGCAACATTTTAGCAATAGTTAAAACAATATGTTGTGCAAACTTTGCTATTTCATCATAATTTCATCTAAAGTACCTCTATTGTTAGATTATAGCGTGGCGCTAAGGCATAACATCATGTATCGAATACCATACTCTTAATTTGTATTTCTCAATAAAACTGCTAATTTTTATTGTATAGGTTTTTTAAATCGAAAGAATATTTTTATTAATTTTTTTATTTCAATTAATTACGATATAATTTTTCAAAGATTTTCATATAGTTCGGATTTGACTTTACCGCGCAAGTACTAATTCAGCTAAGTATTAGCTATCTCTTTTTAACATTCAGAAGTCGCTCGGTGCTTGTAGCGTTTGGTGCGGTCTACGCTACGTTTCGTCACTAGAATTGAATTGCTACTTATTTGAACAGTGTTTTTAGACCTTACTCCGCCATTACTATTAACATTTTTTCATTGTGATTATTTGTGTTGTATGTAATGAACTAAATGTGACTGAAGTGTGAAAACATTGTTACATTGGTTCCCCAATGAGTACTTGAGAAGTGTATCATTTCCTGTTCCATATCGTACAGAAACAAGCTACTACGGCCGCTTGCGAACTCTATTCATTATCACGTGGGTTAAATTTTGAATAATGTGGGTTTTGGAAACGAATTTTAAATGTTTATGATTAATATAAAAGAATGATAACAATGTTTCTTCCGTGTAAACAAAGACCGGCTCATAATCAGTCTTAACCGTTGTTTTTCAGAAGCGCGCCGTTCGCATTCAGTCATTGCCTTCCATTTCTCAAGAACCGGCTGGCGATTGATACAGAGAATGACTGTAAATAGTGACCTAGTGCATTATAGAACAGTGTTGGTGTTGTGAAATAGTGCGTAAGTGAAACGTTACATAAGGTCGAAATGAGTGAAGTAGGAAGCCCGCCCTGACGCGTCTTGCGCCGGCGTCCGCGGCGGGCGACGCTCGTGTCATGGCCCCGGCGCTCCCCGTCACTCAATTTACCCATTTCGACGCGGTCAACGAGACCGAGAAAATACCCCACCGAAGACGGGCCCTCGCGTCCGTCAATAACCTAATACCCATGGAGGAAGATGACATGGGACTCCAAAACCAACCTAGCCTGGCCAAAGACTCGCAAGAAATGGAGCAAATTCTTGTTGATCTTGGCAACAGTGACCTTGTTCAAACAGATTTGCTTCAAGCCATTAAGACCCTAGAAAGCGGCGGCGACACACTGTCTACAGGGGATGCTGATGCAATTTTCCCCCTAGGCGGCTTTGAATTGCCTGACACAGTAGAATCTGAGGGAGATGCATCAGAAGACAAGATTAGATTGATGCAAGCAAGGTTAGAACGTCGGTGCGCATTTTTGTTGAGACGCTTACGAATATTGCAAGCTAGAGCCATTGGTAAAAGAGTATCAGAAGAGGCTGCACAAACATTTGAAAAATGTACTCGTGGAGCACGCAAAGATGGTGGTGGAAGGCCTATGGGAGTAAAAGCTTTATTGAAAAAAGTTGAAACCACAGCTGCTTTACAAGCAAGTGCAGCGTCTCGATCAGTAGCGGGTCCAAAATATTATAGAGCCGGAACATCAAAAGGTGATGCATCTCGTTCAGCATCTATAGGTATAGCTTCTGGGACTCTGAATGGCTTGCAAGATACTGCAGGAGCCTTAAGATCACACTTGTCTGTTGTGAAACATCAACTAGACTCTGATGCAACTGCATCCTCATCAGGGGCTGAAAGCAATGATGAAGCTGTGCCATACAATAATACACACCAGCAACATATGCCTATGTAAGTTATCCAAGTTTGCTGTATTACTTATTTTTGTAGGAGTAAGTTTTATATATAAACATGAATGATATATAGATTAAGGGTAGAATTATGAATATCAGGTTGAAATTACCTAACAATTTTAATTCACGAAATGTAATATAAATTTTCAGTAAATAGTTCTATAAATATTCATTAACAGACCATAGAAGGCCTTAACATTTCTGGGAAACTTAAAATATATATTGTAATATTTGTGGAATATTTAGATACATTATATTCATTCTAATATTATAAATCTGAAAGTTTGTATGGTTGGATGGATGTTTGTTACTCTTTCACACCAGATTGGATAATCAGATCTGGATGAAATTTGCCACAAAGATAAATTATAGTTTGGAATAGCACTTAGTTTACTTTTTATCCTGGAAAAATTTAATGTTCTCTTGGAATAGATTTATTTTTGTCTAGAGCCTGAAGCAAAGCAAGGGTGAGTCGCTAGTGTCTAATATTTATCAATTCAGCTTTATTATTGTATGGGTATTAAAATTTAAAAATTGATGAACTTCTATTACAAGTTTGTCTCATATCATAAGTGATTTTAAAAAAAGAATGTCTTTATGATATTTCCTTATTTTTATCTATGTTTCTGTTATTATTTTTTTTTAATTTTCCTTTTTTTTAAACTATGAGGCATTATTTCAATCTTTTTCTTATGCTGACAATAAGAAACCCTAAATGCTCTATCAAGGTCAGTATAGATCCCCATTCACTTCTGTTTGGATTTATTTTTAATTTTTTTATGGCATTAATTAGGTTTTTTTAATATAAATTATAGTGATTTAATTGTTACATTTTATTTAAGCTACAATAAAACCTAAAGTTTTAATAGCTATTTGACTATAAGTATTATTAATGCTATAATATGTAATATTTATATATACTCTTTCACAATATTAGGATCTCTTGCTTATCTCTAAGCTTATTTAAATAATTTTTACTCCTAAAATATTAATCTTAAAATTTAAAATATCATTTTCAGACTGATTGTTTCATATTAAATATATTTTATGCATTATTCAATAGAAATTGAGTTAATTAATAGAAGTAGTACATGCATTATGTATTATATATACTATTTCTAACAATCTGAATGAATTCAATCATGTTTCATATTAGGTGATTTGTAATGAAAAAGTACATAAAGACATGCATTATGTGTATATAGTGCTCATCCTCGCTCCACTCGGGTTCGCCTCTGGGAAAACAAAAACAAACCTATCCCACAGGAACTGCACATTTTTCCTGGATAAAAAGTAGCCTATGTGTTATTCCAGACTAAAATCTATCTTTGTGTCAAATGTCATCCAGATCCATTTAGCCGTTCTGGTGTGAAAGAGTAACAATCATCTATACTCACAAACTTTCACATTTATGATATTAATATGAATTTTTTTAATAGGTATAATTAAATGTTATGTATTGACTATTTTTTGCCTTTGGCTCTGTTTGCATGATGACATATTTATAAAAAGCTAATGCTATGTCAGAATGTGAACTATCTAATCCAGGTTTCACTTAAATCTGTTGCTGTTAACACTTCTAGGAAAATTTATAAGAAATTAATTAAAATCTAAGAAATCTATTGTTAACTGACACCGGCGTGTCCGCGGTCGTGGAGGGACTAAACATGCTACTTTATAAAGAATAAATCAACACAAACTTTTACATTTGCAATATTAGTGTATAATTTTTTTATATTTAAAACTATACATTTATTTATCAGTAATATATTTACATACAGTGACTTTTAAGTTGATAATTCTGTTGGTCTGTATTTTTTTATATCCAAACATGTTAAAACTCTACACAAACACAAACATATGTATGTCCTTGAGTTTTTTTTTTGTTTAGTACTCTACAGGTTTCATAAGTTGTAAAACCTTGAAAGTTTATTAAGGCTTGAGCAAAGCATATTCTTCAGCAGTTAACTATAAATAAATTATATAACAAATCAATATTTATAAACAATTATATAATTGCATTGCTCTTTTTATTTTATTTTAGTTTGAGCTTTCCGATTGGAGATAGTTTATATCCTGTAAAAACACACTTGATTTTAATATTCAATTTAATAAAAGGGGTTATAGTATATATTTAATATTTATATCCATATATACTATAAATGTAAAAGTGTTTGTCTTTCTTTCACGTCGAAACAGTGACGATTGGCATGATTTTTTTGTGTGGAGGGCTGGAAGCGACACAGACTATTATTTACCTGGTGATATTATCTGTACCACGAGAAAAGACCTTTTAGTACAACCCTTATACTTTAGTATAAAGTAAATGTGAATGTATGGATGTTTGTACAGATATTTATTACTCAATTACGCCAGAACGGCTGAATGAACATAATACATACTCTATTAATCCATACTAACCATTGAAAAAACCTAGGGGCAAACCCGAGAAAAGAGAGGGTCAGCTGCTAGTATATTATACAATATTAATTCTTAATATAGCTGCTAGTATATTATACAATATTAATTCTTAATATTATGCTTTTATTGGCATCAACTGTATATAATAAACTATGTAATTTGTCTCGGTAGTTGCTTGTAACCTCCTTCTAATTATCATAATAATTTGATACCCTCAAGCTGATCTGTTGATGGAGCCAGTCAGTGGATGATAGAACTCTTCAATGGTTACAAATAAAACGTACAAGTTTGAGCTCATTTGGTTCATCTTGATGAGTCCCGTGTATTACAATATGGCCAATAGTTGAATAGCTAGTATTCTTTTTTTTTTTGAAGTAAAACTTCTTTAGAATCGTTGTAATTTGAAACTCGATAAAACGAAAATGCGACACTAAAAAGAGACAAACACAAATATATAAGCATTAAGCCGGCGAGAGAATGAGATGGAATACATTGCCGTGTTGCCATGGTGACCGTTGTTATTGCCTGACAAATATGTAATATTCTTTCTGACAAATATGTGATATTCTATAAATATATGATTGTGATATACCTAAAATGCCTTATTTAATATTGATTTGCTTTAATTTTATTGCGATATTCGTCAAAAAAGTTTTACTTCAACCCCGTGTAAAGGTTACACTCACCCATTTTTTTTTTAATTATACTTTTTTATATTTTTTTCAGCGAAAAACGTGCTTTATGGTCGTGGCAGAAGACTCGAGCGTCGATCGCTTCTCGCTGGTGTTGGCTTCAGGTGCAAGTACAGGAGCTCGAGTACAAAATACGACAACACGACGATTTGCATAAACAGGTACCTATGTGTTTACTATGTGGTGTGGTTTATTACTTCGCCTTTTTTGTTTCTTTAATATTTTTTTTCAATTGTTTTTTCTTTTGGTGATGGCTATCTGGTATTTGTTTTTTGTTTTTTTTTTATTTCGAATCCTTTTTGTAATAGCTTATTATTTTGTTTTTTTTTTTGTCTTGTAATAGGACAGGTACTTATTATTTTTTTATTTTACTCTATCCCTTACGTATAAATTTTTAGATAAATAAATAGTGACCTTTATTCATTTGATACAATATTTTCACGTAAATACAAAGTATATATAGTATTTTTTGGAAAATCTTATTGAAATAAACATTATTATTGATACAGAGGCCGAATCTATAATTTTAGAATTTTTGTCTATCTGTCTGTTAGCGCATCACAGAGAAACCACTGGGGAAATTTTGATGAAATTTGGTGTGGTGATAGCTGGTTATCCGGGTCAACATATAGGATACTTTTTACCGCGGGAAAATATCTCATTTCTGAGAAATAATACAAAAACTGCAATGTAAGAGTATACTAATATGTAAAACCTAAGAATTTGGGTTTTTGGTCATCTGAACGCGGGCAATGCTAGTATATTTTTTAAACTAGCGACTCAGCCTCGCTTCACTCGGGTTCGTCCCTAGATGATTCTTTAAATTGAGATAATAATATATGTTAAGTGAAGCTTACCAAAATACATTAGGGCAAACCGTACTCAAATCGGTTAAGCCGTTTCTGAGATTGGCGCGCATAAACACACAAACAAATAGACAAACAAACAAAACTTCTATAAATCATTATTTTGTGTTGGTACACACAGCGATCAATTATACTTTTATTATATGTATACATAAAATTAAGTAATTTAAAATAAAAAATAAAAGAACAAATTATCAAAAGTTTTTTGGCAAATTTTGTTTTTTCTTCCGTCCATCTGTCCATTTAGTGTATATTTACATAAATATAATCCCGTTTTACAGGTCAGCCGACCGGTATTCAGTTCACCCTAACTAACTCGTCAATGCGAATCCCCGAAATATATTTTACAAAGTAAATTAAATATTACTTTTTTAATAAAATTACCTTTTCGGATTTTTTCACGGATTTAATTTGATTATTAATATAAATCTAAGAAAGTATTAAAGATTTCCTTAAGAAAGATATATTTAAATAATATTATCTTTTCGGATTATTTCCTGGATTTATTTTGATTTTTGGTTCGTGACGTTTCCAATACTTAAAGTTTACAGCAACCATGGTCACGGGAGAGACTAAGCATTCGAAACAAAAAAGTCTGGAACCGAAAATCAAAATAAATCTGTGAAAAAAAATCCGTAAAGATAATTTAAAATGTCAAATATTCGTGTAAATCTAACCAAGTGTTAATTTAAATATGATTTTTATTTTAAGATTTACCGTTTTACTAACTGACCCGACCTACGCTATATTATTCTTACACTAAAGTTTGTAAGCTTTAAGTGTATACAAAAATGCTATCGAAAAAAGCACCTTCAGTTTTTCCGGAACTTCCCTTATTCGGATTATTTTTAATATTTTTAACCGAATTCCAAAAACGAGGAGGTTCTCAATTCGCCTGAATCTTTTTTTTTTTAAAAATAGCCAAACCGGTCTACCAACAAACAGCATTTAATTATAATAACATTACGTACATAATAGCTAATAGTTATAGGTTGTTTATATTTCCTCTCAGATAATCGCAACTTATCGTACGCGGGTCATTGATATATAATGTTACGTTGTTTAATATTACTATTTGGCACTTTTTTATGTTATTTACAAAAAAATACATTTATAGACTGTATTATTTTTTCCGTTTCCCAAAAAAATACTTGATGTATTTTTTTTTTTATAAAATGTTTTACTACCTTTACTCCAAAATAAATAACTGAATTTCGCTAAGAAAACTCAATAATTCCAAAATATATGATCTCGCTTCACTCGGGTACTCAATCGTATGTTTCTAAGGGTTAGTATGGAATAGATAGTCGATCCCTTGCTCTGTGAAAAACAAAAACAAATGTATCCCACGGGAACCGTATATTTTTCCGGGATAAGTAACCTACCTAGCTATTCCAAACTATAATTTTTCTCTGCCAAACAGTCTGATTCGTTCAGCTGTTCTGGCGTGATTGAGTAACAAACATTCATCTATCCAATCTTTCGCATTTATAATATTAATGGGATGGGAACCTTCTATCTTCATGGTAGAACCAGAGGATTGCACTAGATGCCAAGTAGCAAGAGGCGTTAAAATGCCAAATGCGAAAAACATTGCTGATGCATTTATTTGATGTGAAAAGGTCAGTAACTGGCACTGAAAGATAATTTCGCTTATACCCTGATCACGGGCTAGGACCGGTGTTGATTGTATCATCATTCTTTACTAATGTTGACGCGTTGAAACAAAAAAAAACAGCATTTTTTCAGTTATCTATAATATCACTATAGATTACATAAAACGTCCATAAACTCACATAAAATCAATGTGTAGGTGTCAAAAATTTATAAAAGTTAGGTCAATGAGCTTGAACGATAACGGTATTATCTGATATAATAAAATAGCGACCTCTTTCAAACATTTAATGGCTTCTTTTTGAAGCTGGACCCTTCTTACTTAATGTACTGACCTATGATTTTGTTGTATAAATATTTGTGTATTATTTTAATTCTTTTAAAAAAAGTTTGGATGGTTGATACAATAAGTGAAATATATATATATATATATATATATATATATATATATATATATATATATATATATATATATATATATATATTTCACTTACTATTTATATATATATATATATATATATATATATATATAAATAAATAAATCAATTGCTGTTCGTTAGCCTCGTTAAAATTCAACATCGGCTGAATCGATTTGAATTATTCTTTTTTTGTTTCGTTGGAGGTATATAAGGGATGGTTTAAAAATTAAAAAAAATTTGGAAAAACCCATAAGAACAGCTGGAAAATCGAATAGTTCAGAACTGGTTATTTTGTATAGGAATCACTACTTCGGATTACTTTCAATAGTGGTGGACCTACCATCTACAACAATACGTCAAGTTTAAGTTAGAAAAAAATAATATAAGTATATAACAGTATATAGTCTATCTATTCTATACTAATCGTTAAAACGCACCTAGTCTTTTAATATATTTATTTGATTTCAGCTACACAAAGAGTACTCTATAGAGAATTCACAACTCTAATCTTATCTACTCGTATTTGGGTCGGGTACTAATCTTTCATCCTCTTCGTACACACAAGGGATTATGTAAATTATTTGAAATAGCGATGTCTTTATAAAGGGTAACGCAGGTATAAACAAATTGCTGAAACGTACATGTAAATAAGTAAAAGAATAGCTAAGTATATATAACTTATACTAACTACTTACTTACATATTCAGTACTTTATGCATGCCTCTTTGTTATTTATTTTATTTTTATCTTCTGTACTCTTCTTTTGTGTGTGCAATAAAGAATTTATCTATCTTTCTATCTAATTTTCAATGGTAACGCCACAAGGATATCTCTATTGAAAAGTATTGTTACTTCGAGAGTGAAACAAGATTTCGAGTGTTTAAAATTAAGTTAGAAATTGGTACAATCATGTTAAGTGTAAAACACTTGAAATTTATTAGTTCAGGTAATTTCGTTGTTTTATGACTTTACAGTATAGATTGTGATGGGGTTTTGAATTTGTTATGAATATCATTAGTTATTTTATTTGATTATTATTTAGTAATAGTGTTATTAGAACTGTCCATTCGTTCCGATAATCAAGATTCAACATAAAATAAAATAGTTTAAATTTTAGATAAAAGCAATAAATTAATTCATTTAATCCGTCTAGCCGTTTTAACTTGATAGAGTAACAAACGTACACACATACAAACTTTCGTATTTATAATAATAGCCCGATTATTTACACTTCTTGCATTACAATATGTATTCATGTAATTTATACTTCATTATATTATTATAATGTTACATTCAATAGCAAAATATTTTTTTAAACACATAACCAGACTTCAAATATCGATTAATGTGTAACGACTCCAATTATTCTATGGCATTGAATATTTCTGGGATGCTAATGAGATGTCGTTGCTTTTTTGCGACTGAGCGTCGCAGGACTTAAAAATAATCTTATATCCGCTGTTATATGATATTTTTCATTTTTAAATATTCTGCATTATACGTGAAACTAGCGACTCACCCTTGCTTCGCTCGCATTCGTCCCTATGTACGTTTTAACGGTTAGAATGGAATAGATAGAGTATATATAATATAATATATAAGCCTATAGCCTACCTCAATAAACGGGCTACCTAATGCAAAAAGAATTTTTCAAATCGGATTAGTAGTTCCTGAGAATAGCGCGTTCAAACAAACTCTTGTTTATTTATTGTATTAGTATAAATCAGTATAGATTTTAAATGAAAGGAAAAGTGTAATGGTATTTTCATCCTTTTTGTAAGGCGTTTCTTCAACATTGATGATGTTCTCCTGACCGATTCCTGCCACGGCGGCCAATTTCATTGAGACTAGCCAATTGCACAGGAGATATTATAGTGCACAAGTGTACGTGCAGACACAAGTGCACTCTCTATTCCTGTCACTCTCATACTCCAGTGGGACGGCTACTCGACACGACCGGTGAAAGTTAAGGCGCAGGACTGACGGCTTTACGTGCTCTCCGAGGCACGGGGGTGAAACACCGCCAACTTCCCAACTCCGGGCTGTTACTGAGACTTACTATACAGAAAGACTCAATAACTAAACTTGGCCCGACCCGAGACTCGAACCCAGAACCTCCGGGTGTGCAGCTGTACATGCTAGCCACTACACCACCGAGGCGTTATCGTAAATTCGTAACAATCCAACGTGAAACCATTGCTTGCATGTTAATATACAGTATTGAGTTTCACGTGCCGTCATTTATTACAGGTCAATAACTTTCATAGAAAACGCTTTTAATTATTTTCATTATGGGGGCGAATGTTAACTGTAAAGCATCTAATGTGCTTGTCTCTAGGTGGTTAAAATAAACATTTTAAATTGTTTATGTTTTTTTAAAAGTTAACATTTTTTTTTTAAATTACATAAGGTTTTAAAAACAACATAACGTATACATTAACACCTCCAGGTAAATTTTCATTAATTTCTAAGAAATTAATTAAAATTCTACGAAATCTATTGTTAACTGACACGCCGGCGTGTCCGCGGTCGTGGAGGGATTAATATACTCGTACGCTATACGCTTATGTATCTAACATTGTACAGTATTATGCATTTTCGCAAGTTACATTTATACATTTTTTTAGGTTCAAAAAAGCACTTAAAAGACGCCGAAGAGAACTAACTACCACTCAGTTTTTTTTTGTGCATGAAACCCTCATTCGTGAGAAATTCTATAGGCTATTTAAGATCGTGCTACGAACTTTAGTAGTGGAGCAATTATAAATGATATACATTAAAAAATATACATACCGACGAACATAGAACCTCCTCCTCTTTGGAAGTCGGTTAAAAACTACGCAAGCGGAGACGCATGCAAAGTTGTTTAACATAAAACTTTCAAGTTAGGTAAATATTATTATATTAATTTTTATTATTACTATAATTTTGATAGTTCATTGATATCATTTTGAGCATTTGCTGTATTGATTTCCTCCGCCCTTGAAATTGTGACATCGAATGCATTTTACATGCATTCCAAAATAGATTATGATCGACTAATAGTTAAACGACGAAAATTATTCTTAGTAGTGTTACAATACTATCTTGTACTAGCTTGGCAAAGAAATATTACAAACTGCCATTATTTTCTCCTACTTAGTATACCTGCCGCATTATTAATAGCCAAATTAGTATATCAAGTGTATTAGTGTTTGTACATTATACTACACTAAGTTGTACATAATATTATTTTTTTTTAAATAAAAATGATGATTTGTACAGTGAAAAGTTAATATAAAAGTAGCGGTTCACCCTCGCTTCTCTCGAGTTCGTCCCTAGGTACGTTTTAGCGGTTAGTATGGAATAGATAGACTATATATTATGTAACTGCTCGGCTCCCTTGGGTAGTAGCATGATGATATATAAAAAACCTAACCTAACCTAAAACCTTCAATAAAAGGGCTATCTAATGCCAAAATAATGTATCAAATCGGATTAGTAGTTCCTGAAATTTGCGCGTTCAAACAAAGAAACAAACAAACTCTGCCACTTTATAATATTAGTATAGATAATCAAATACTCAAATAATTTGGAAATGAAAATATAAAAAAAAACTATTCACAAATCTTCCTCCTTCATTACCTAATTAGGATAAAACATTGATTTAAATATGGCTTGGGTGATATTTTAAAATCCATTACATTCATTTTTTTTTAATTTTCAGGTTCGCGAAGCCAAAGGTCCCGTGGAATTCGAAGGAGAGCCAGTGGGCTACGAAGGCAGCCTCCCTGGAGATGAAGACTCCTCGTGTACGTGTGCCAGAGTGCGCCCCCTAAGAAGGGATACGTTCAAGAAGAGAAAACTTTTGCAAATGCACAATTTACATATTGCAACACCTAAAGCTGCAAAACCCTCTGACATTAGGTAAATAATGTTATATTTTTCATCCTAATTATGGTGTAGTTTTTCTACAGGTTTACGCGCGAAATTTATATGTATGATAATTTGTTTTAATTAGTCCATAGATAAAATTTTTAATTTTTAATTACATACTATTTATGCTCAAACTAAAGAATGTTTCTTCTTCTTCTCTTTATGCATACTATCTCGATATTGCCATACATATCGCATAATTTCTTCAAAGAATAAGGAAAATTGAAAATATAAAAATAAAATTATGTTATTTTGAATTTTAATATTATACATCTGAAAGAGTTTGTTTGTCCTTTTTTTCACGTCGAAACAGAGTGACGGATTGGCGTGAATTTTTATGTGGAGATAGCTGTTGGAGAGCTGGAAAGTGACATAGGCTATATTTCACCGCGGGAGATTATCTCATTCCCACGGGAAAACCCGTTATAATACAACCCAAAAAAACGTGTTTTAGCATTTTTCGAAATTTATCCCATACGGTGGTAAAGTTTGGGGGTTTGTATGAAAGCTACCTTGAGTTTTTTTTGTTTTAGCGCGAGCGAAGCCGCGGGTTCTGACAGTTCAATATAATTGAATATAACACATTATTTAATTGCTATCATTAATATTTGGCATTCTATATAAATTCCAGGTGCACGTGCCAGTATAGAGTGGAGAGCTGCTCGGTGTGCACCGGGCGCGCCGAGCCCACGCAGCCGCCGCCGCCCGCGTCCACGCTGGCGCCCGCGCAGCGCCTCGCGCTCGTCGACCCCGCCTACCATCCCGTGCTCAGCGACGTCAGAGGTCGGTTGCTTGTTGGTGCTCGGAACTTGGGTTTTGTTCTGTGCTATGTATGTAAACATACATATGCACAAAGAAATTGCCTATGTGCTGATTTAGGATATAAGCCAGTCGTTTTTATTTACAATGTACATAGGTAGTTATTTAGATTATGTGCCCGTAGTCATCGTAAATTAATGGGTCTCATGATGGTTTTTTTTTGTTTTAAACGTTGGGAAAGGTATTTACGCATCCCCATCCATATAACCACCTGTATATTAACAGTATGTAACTGCCTCGGTGGTGTAGTGGCTGGCATGTACGGCTGCACATACAGAGGTGTTGTACGTGGGTTCGAGTCCCGGGTCGGGCCATTTATATATATATATATATATATATATATATATATATATATATATATATATATATCTGTAGTCTTTCTGTTTAGTAAGACTCAGTAACAGCCCAGAGTTGGGAAGTTAGTGGTGTTTCACCCCCGTGCCTCGGAGAGCAAAATATTGTTAGTACTAATTTCGCACGCTCGGGCATAAGCGTCGTGGTCAAGTGACCAAGGCGCAAGATTGACAATCACTGGTTTGAATCTCGGTCGGATACAAAGATATTACTTATGTTTTTTTTTGTATTTATTAAAGTTTTTAGTTCTGTTTCGATCTAAAAAATACGAGACAACAATAAAGAACTCCGAGCGAAGCTCGGTCGCCCAGGTACTAATTGTGTATATTAGCAATTTATATAGCTGTATATCAAATCAAATCAAAATATTTTATTCAGCTTTAAATTATTACAATTTTTTACTGAACGTCATGAGTCTACTACCATATATATATAATTCCAGACATCCGTCCGCAAGTGCACCTGTCCGCGCTGGCGTCGCGCTCGTGGTTCCGCTCGCGCTTCGGCAAGGCGTGGCGCGGCGCGCACCACGCGCCGCCGCCGCGCGCGCCCGCGCCGCGCCCGCCCGCGCCCGCGCGCCGGCACGTCACCAGTCAGTATGCTTATTATATTAAATGTCTTATTTAATATTATATTATATACTTTAATTCTACTAATACATCCTAAAAATGTATTTGAATTTTGTACTAACCTTAGAGAACATAACTGCTCTTATTGACCCGAGGTGGACGTAAATAGCTGCGGTTTATATAATAATATAATATGTATGTTCTTATGTTTAATAAAAAGATTTAAATCTTTAAAATCTAAATTTTCGATTCGATATATCGATATTTATAGCCGATATATTTTGGTCCGATACATCGATATATCGATACAAAATATTCAAAATCGAATATCGTATCAAAAACGATATTTATTTTTAAATTTAGTTTATTAGCAGTAGATTTTATAATATAAAGCCGTAAAAAATATTGTATAATCTATAACTAATATGTTTTGCTTGTGTTGCGTGCATGTGTGTGTTTGTGTTCGGCGCCCATCATGCGTCCCTCACTTTCAAATGCCGTAATAACCAGTTTATTGGAAGAGGGTAAAATACCATCGTTTTTATTAAGATTCTCCATGCAATAAAATAATATGCATTTTATATAAAAAATACTATTACCTATTATAGAGCTGGACTGAACTAAATACATTATTATTTAAAAACCGAAAATCTCTGAAAATTTGACCGATGTATCGATATTTTTTCCTTGGGATATCGAGTTGAATATTGATATTTTAATAAATATCTGGTTCCGGGTAAAATTATGAATATGAAAGATCCAGGGGCACGCAAATTATATTACATCAAAATCGGTCCAATCGCTTAAGAATTCAGTGACACATACAGAAGAATTATGTATAAATTGATGACGATGATATCTCCCGAGCAGTTGGGGCTGGTTTGAGTGAGGTTGGCCGTCTTGGTCGAAATCGGTTAAACGGACATTATTATAAAAATCCGACAATTTCCGACTGATTTTAACGAGAATGGGATGAAATGCGAAATTAAATCGCTTTAGTGCAATCTCGTGGCATATTACAGTTATACCCATCATCATTTCCCTGACCATTTCCAAAATTACTTGGGGACGGCGCAGTGCGTCTACCATACTGTTAGTTTTTGGCAAAAGTTTTACTACCGGCCGCCAACCTGACAATAACCTCTTTGGGAATGCTGTTGTTTACAAACGTCGTGCAGAAGATACGAGGTGCTATAACCAGCACAGGATCGTCTTATACATGCAGTATTTTATCTTAATTTTATTATCTATTTCCCAACTGACATAAAACCACCTCATCCAATTCATACCGCGCATCTACTGCATGATCTCGGAGTAATATGCTACCTACTAAACACAATAGAATGAATTTTAGATACAAATATTCATACTACGTGGAAATTACTGAATAAATATTGAAGTGATTGATAAATAATAATCGAACCTCCTCCTTTTCAAAAAATTTAAAGATATTAATAATTTTATTAATTTAATATTTTTCCATTTCAGAATTGAAAAGAGGTCGTCCTCCATTATCAAGGAAAATTAAGGAGAGAGACCGAGACGGTGACACTTCAACATCGGGACAAGACAGGTTTGTTACAATACATAATATGTATTTGAAAATACATATATCTCAAATATTCGAAAAATAATAACGAACACGGATAAAACTATTTTACTGTATAATTATTGGTAAATGAAAATGAGTAATATAAATAAAAGGAAAATGCTCGCCTTCGAAACAGTGACAACAGTTTCAAACTCTGGATCTCGCACCTATAATATTTTCACCAGAAAATTTCATTTTCAACTAGAAAATATAATGAAAGATGTTAGAAGTCCGTCAGTCTTTATTTGGCAATCTAGTACTATATTTTTATTATATAATAATACTAACAGAACTCGCGGGCGGCTTCGCTCGCGCTAAAACTACAAAAAATAAACTAAAAAAAGCATATTCTACCCTCTTATGGGATGAATTTCGAAAAATGCTAAATTACGTATTTATTTTATTATATTGAAGATCATTAATACTAAGTTTCAAGTAATTCTGATCATAAATATTTTTTTGGCTTGTACTATAACGTGTTTTCCCGTGGTAATGAGATAATCTCCTGCGGTATCAAGAAGCCTGTCACTCCCCAGCCCTCCAACTATCTTCACACAAAAAATCAAGCCACTCTGTCACTTTGTTTCGTGAAAGAAGGATAAACAAAGAAACAAACACACTTTCACATTTATAATATTATTATAGATATAAATCTATATATATATATATATTCGTTTTATTATTAAATCTATATATATATATATATATATATATATATAACGGCCGGACCAATTTTCATATTTGATTTTTTGGATTTCTCTTAATCGGGAATAGGATTATAAGTATTAAAACATCGAAAAAAAATACGAAAAAAAAACATTAACATGGTTAACGCTAGATGATAACTATCTATATCTATTTAAATTGCACCTAGGGACGTAAATAAATTAGAAAATAGGACGTAAATAAAATAAGATTTAATACATAAATTTTTTCTCTGCATTTTCCAGAAGGAGTCGCAGCAGCACGGAGTATAGAGCGTTGCGACGGCAGTCGTACGACATAGACAACATCGTCATACCGCAGAGTGTGGCCGCCTGCACTCGCCCTGAGATACTTAACTATAAGCAGATTATTACTCCAAAGTAAGATAATATTGTATTTTAAAGTAGCATTGCCCGCGACTCCGCCCGCGTTCAGATGACTATAAACCAAATTCTTAGGTTTTACATATTAGTATACTCTTACATTAAAGTTTTCGTATTTTTTCTCAGAAATAAGACATTTTCCCGCGATAAAAAGTATCCTATATGTTGACCCGGATAACCAGCTATCACCATACCAAATTTCATCAAAATCCCTCCAGTGGTTTTTCTATGATGCTTTACTTTAATTAAAGAAATCCATTGAGTTGTTTGGAATATATGAGGGAATAAAAATATTACAAATAAACATACAAAGATAGGCGCGAAAAACATAACCCTTTCCTTGCATTCGGGTAAAAACTAAAAAGAGTCGGGTAAAAACTAAAAAGAGTCGGGTAAAAACTAAAAAGATAAAAGCGGCAACATAGTGATCGTAAAGTGCCTGCTCACTTTCGATTTTTTTTGACATGTTGCACCTTTTGGATTTTAATGAAACTTGGCATGCTATTAGACAATATATAGACAATTATTATGTATTTTTTTCAAAGTGGTAATTTATTTATATCTGATAGAAATCGATGGACAAAATTTTTATTTGCATTTTTTTAATACTTTTATTTAGGTTTGGCCCATAGTAAACAGCTATAAAATAAACTATAAAGCTTAATATAACACTTAAATTTTGTTTTATTACGCTAGCTTTGAAATTAACTAAGATATATCGCTTTGAAATAATGTCGTCCCTGGACACTTTTTTTCAAATAGCTCTTCAATTAACTAAGATATAGATCTAATATTTACTACATTAATTACTATTAGTGTCCTCTACAATATAACATTGGTTACGATATAGGTTCCTATCGGGGGCACTTTCGCCATGGAAGTACGGATAGACCCTTTGGTATGGTGATACCTGGTTATCCGGGTCAACATATAGGATACTTTTTATCGCGGGAAAATGTCTCATTTCTAAGAAAAAATACAAAAACTGTAATGTAAGAGTATACTAATATGTAAAACCTAAGAATTTGGTTTATGGTCATCTGAACGCGGGCGGAGCCGCGGTTAATGCTAGTATAATAATATGTTTGTTTGTATATATGCCGCAGGAATATTGTATAATTCGTTATTATACAAACGACGCTGTCTGTTTTTAGATCCAAAAAGCCATTTATATACCAATATTCATTTAAATAAAAATAAATCATTCTAAAGATAGACAGACCAACAAAAAAAAAATAAGTGAAGTTTTACTTCAAAAACATTTATTATATTAGTATATATTACGCTTTTTTAATATTAGTAGGGAGTAGAGTACATTAAATAAAATTATACATTATATTTTGATTACACTGAACTGCAACATAATGATTTCATAATTATTATTTACAGATGGCGGGTTATGGAAATCCCAGAAACGCCACTCAATAATGGCGTAATGAAATCTAATCGCATGTCGATAGAGAGTGACGTAAGTCATTTATATTAAAAACCTATATATATTATAAATATTATAATATTTGAATAAAAATATTCATTATATATGCCTTTACAAACACACATATTCGTTGTAACTTTCTAATAAAATTGCTTCAATCATTTCCTAGATGAAAAAGTAAAGAAAAATGCGGTACACATTAAACGTCATTATACAATATACCACATTCCAAAGTTGTCTACAGAGAAGTATGCTAAAATCAACATCTAAATTTAAATTATACAGTTAGTTGTAAGGAGAGCAAATAAATACTTGTTTATTTAATTACTAGCATAACATGTGGCTTCGCCCACGTTTTAGTCTACCAAAAAAAGTAGCGATATGTAATTTATATAATATATATAATTTTACAAATATATGTATGGAAATCTGCCCAATTTGTTGACGTATATGATTATTGCTCTGCTCCCTTGGGTAGTAGCATGATGATATATAGCCTTCCTCAAGAAACGCGCTATCGAATGCAAAAAGAAGTTCAAATCGGATTAGTAGTTTATGAGATTAGCGCGTTCAAACAAACAAACTCTACCTCTATAATATTAGTATAGATAAGCATCTCACTCTCGCTTCGCTCGGGTTCGTCCCTAGTGAAAAACAAAAATAATTCTATCCCACGGAAACCGTACTTTTTTCCTGGATAAAAAGTAACCTATGTGTTATTCCAGAAAAAAATCATCCAGGTCCATCCATCCATCAAAACTTTCGCATTTATAATAATACTAGCGACTCACCCTCGTTTCGCTCGGGTTCGTCCCTACGTATGTTTTAACGGTTAGTACGAACTACAAAACTTTGAATTTTTCGGGAATTCTGTACTTTAATATGCATGTACGAGTATTATACTGAAAGGGTCCTACCGCGACGTTAAATAAAAGGTGCACTGTATAATTCGCTGGTTTATATTGCCGATAATAAAAATTAAATATAAGTATAATTAGAGGCGGCCGTTAGCGGTGTGCTCCGAGTGCGACCGAGCCGCCACAGCACAGCCCACCGTCAGCGCGTTGATCCCCGCTCCTCGCGACGTGAGACCGGTTCCCAACAATACATATAAACCTTCCACTTGAATCACTATCTATTATAAACCGCATCAAAATCCGTTGCGTAGTTTTAAATTTCTAAGCATACATAGGGACAGACAGACAGCGGGAAGCGACTTTGTTTTATACTATGTAGCGATAATTAATTAATAATATTCATACATTTCCAGGACGAAGATATTTCAGACGCGGCGGTGCAAGCGAGGCACACTCGCGCGGAAACGCGAGAAAGAAGCAGGTACATGCGCAAGCGGCGTTCCCGACGCAACCACACGGAGGAGAACAACGCGCAACCACACCCACACCCGCAACCGGAACCGCCGCCACCACCACCACCGCCCCCACCGCCGCCGCCGCAACCGCGAGCAGCGCAACCGGAACCGCAGATGCATGGTCAGAGACAACCGTCGCCCGCGGCGTATGAGGCAAGTTATACTGAATTGTATTGGAAGCTCTTAAGTAGGGTTTGGAATTGTGCATGCGCATGCGAGTCTTTGTTTAAGAGTTTAATTACTCATTTTTCTTCTCTTCCAATTTAATTTCCTATATATATGAAGGCAATACATATAGCTAAATGTGGGTTCTGGAATATAAATAATCAAAAGTGGTAGTTATAAGTCTAATTGAATAAAGTTTATTTCAATTCAAATGTCTCACAAAGACTTTGTGTTCTCTCTGACATGTAGGTTTCCTTATAATTTACTGCTATATTTTTATTGCGTTGAAGGAAGAAGATTATTAACTAATCATAATTTTTTAATAGTGATAAAACCTTCTGATATAATCTCAGTTTTGTTGCTATCTTCTTATGTGGCTAAGGTTTTTTTTTGCTTTAATACAACATTTGGTATAATTGATGCAAGGTAACTTAGATTTTATTTTTGGTGTTATGGTATATTGCACACTATTATTCCTCTTAATGGTCTATGTATTATCAGTTAACAAAAAAACTGTTACTACTTAAGTTGTAACTTAATAGTTTTTCTAATAACTTCTTTGTATCTCCTTTATCTAACACTAATTTTCCTATCTCATATAACACATGTCTTACTAACACACAAATAAACAACATTAACATTCTAATATTTCAGACAGTGAGACCATATTCGCCGAGACGCTTTCCACTACAAGAAGAACAATATCTAGAAATGTTATCCAATATGCCGGAGGGCTACCGGCCAAGTAGTCCGGAGACACCACGGATCGATGAAGAATCCAGTTCCCTGTCACCAATGTCACCTCTGGTCTTCGATGGAGATGACCCGGATGATGCTGAATGGGAACCCAGTGTGGAGAAATCAGAACGGAGAAAAAGTACTTTGAGGTAAATTGTGCTGTGTTGTTATACTTGTGGAGAAGACAGTGAATATTGGACTTTTAATATGGTGTGTGATCATTTTTTCCATATAATCTATAATGGAAAATATATGGCCCATAATAATGTAGTAAACTAAGGTTAAGGAAAGATATTTTATGGGGAATTTGGTAATTTCAAATTTGTGAGTAACTTGTGGTTTATTTTGTCAAACAATATTTGCACTGCGTCACTATTTGTATTAGGGCTTTTGCTAAATATTGGAAACGTTAATTTTCACTCTAAAAATTTTGCGCGATAAGAAGGATTGGTATGGAATTAATTTTACATAATTACACTTCAATACAAATATCTATGTAATAAGTTGTTGGTAGATAAACGTGTTTAATTATTATAAGCTTCAGTAGTAAAGTCCGGCCGCGGAACAGAAAGAATTTCGTACAATGAACTCTTTTATCAATATAATAATATCACATATTTTGTATCACATCTGCTAACATAATTTATTATTTGAAGCAAATTTCCTTATTTACTTACTACAAATCGTATGTCGAACCATTAATGATATATTCACTGCATTTACACTCACTAAAACTTCCTATTTCCCTAGTGGCGGAATTTAGAACTAACAACAGCAGTATTTAACTATAACAGAGAATGGCTCTATCGTCTTTGATACATTTTGACTAAATCATAAATCACATAAAACTCTCTTAGATTCACGCGAATCTTTATATTTAAAAAAAAACCTCCCATGACTATGATTGCTGTAAAGTTTACAGTGTAAACCATTTAGAATATTGGGAACCAAAAATCTAAATAAATCTGCGAAATAATCCTAAAATATAATTTTATTTAAATAATGATTTTGTCAGTTGAAGTTTAGTTCAGTTCTGAAATTTGCCACTTGGGAAAAATCTGCTCGTCGTCAAAACACTATATCGATGGTTAACCTCCAAAATCTGTTATCCCTATAGAAATATTAAGCTTAAAGGAGCCTAAAGTTTTTATTATAATATGATTACAGAAGATAAGTAATACAAAAACGGTTAAAAATTAAACATAATAAGCACTCTATTCCAAACTGCAGGTTTTTGTGACTTTACAGAGTATTTTTCATTTATAATAATGTATTTCGCAGTTTAGTGTAGCTCTTGGCATAGGCCTCCTCCTATGGTGTCCCGCTGTTAGTTTTATGTCATCCTCCCATCTGGTTTGTTGGCATTCTCATACCAATCAGAATTAATTTTGCTCCATTTTTTCTAAAAATCATCTGAGAAATATTATTTAAAATTGTATAGTTTCTTTTTTAAATATGTGAAACAGTAGTTATACTTAAGAATAAGTAAAAACCTGTATTTTGGTGGTTGTCATTCGATAAAAATATTATATTATCGTACATTATATATGTTAGTACAACCAAATTTAAAATGAATGTAAATTTTATAATTGTAAAATAATTAATTATAATTATTAGATTAAGTGCATTCGATTTAAAATTTCAGATCTCAAATGTATGTATATAATATATTGTTTTGATTGGTCGGTTTTTCTTTGTTGCCTTTATTGCCAGGTCTGTAAATTTATCTAAAGAAAAAAAAAACTTTTTTTTCGCTTTTATGAATACCAAGCACGTGAACATTTTTATATTTGACTTACCCAATGTGAAAAATGCATGTATTTTTTGTGTTAATACAGAAATTTGGCAACATTTTTCATTACAAAAATAAGACTGGTATTACATTTATGAAGGAAAAGTGTTTACGAAGATGGCCGGTGATGATTCTAGCTTTATAGAAATAAAAATCTTTATAAAAACATATTACAATACATTATAGTAGTTTAAAAGGAACTCATGATCAATGAAATTTTTTCCAACATAACTTGTGGAGATAAGCACTAATACGTCGCCTTAGTGCTTATTTGTTCAATGACCAATACTTGTACTTTACAGTAGAGATTTTTTTCCTCCGTTTTAAAAACAAAGCTTTATATCTAAGATTTATATAATACATGTATAGATAAAATACATCTTTTCGGATTTATTACAATAAAATGTATATTTTATACCAATAGGATTGACATTTAAAAGTCAATAATTCAATATTAAATTTTTTTTCGGTGAATTGGTCGTTTGGACAAATAGGCACTGAGATGACGATATGTCTGTATTCATAAACTAGGTTGCTTCCCTGTACAAACTTTCATCCCCATTTTCACCCCCTTAAGGGATGATTTCCGGGATAAAAACTATCATATGTCCTTCACAGGGTCACAAAATATCTTCCCAAATTTCATCTAATTCGATTCAGTAGTTTCTGAGCCCATTCGATACAAACAAAAAAGAAAGTCATTTTTTTTTTCTCTATAAAGTATTAGAATAGATGTAATACCGTCTTAAATAATTAAACAAGCTATGATTTCGCTTTGATAAGTTATAATTATCAAATAAAAATAAGGACTTGTATGTTGAAAGTTCTAAGCTTTATCTATGTATATAAAAGAAAGTCGTGTTAGTTACTTCGCTTATAACTCAAGAACGGCTGAACCGATTTAGCTGAAAATTGGCAGGGAGGTAGTTTAGAGCCAGGAGAAGGACATAGGATACTTTTTATCCCGTTCGACCGCGTTCCAATTTTTATGATATTTTAATTTTTGGATTTCTCTTAGTCCGGAATAGGTAAGTATTAAAACATATAATTAAAATGTGAGAAAGAAAGATTTTTTCTTTTTATATCTATTTAAAACGTACCTAGCGACGAACCCGAGCGAAGCGAGGGTGAGCCGCTAGTTATTAATAAGATATCTGTATAGAAATATTTTGTAAACTTGTATGTATAGTAAATGAAGTAACTATTTGGAGTGTACAGATGTTACCCAGTGTATGTACATATGTAGGACCCTGACATTCCTCACAGTTCAAATATAAGCGGAATATTAAATGTAATTAAACTCTGTATAACCCGTTGATATACAAAAATTCAAGATACACAATTAGCGTCTCGAAAATGTCCTCGAAAAGAAGCGAACAATTCAAATATATGCGGTTTTTTTTAAATCTCTTTTTGCTTTTCGAATGACAAAATTAAAACGCATGTTGTTTCGTTTGAAAAAGTACTTTATGTGGTGTGCGTAAGTTCCAATTTGTGTTTAGACGAGAACTTTTTGATTTTTTAATTTTATTCTTTGGTTTGATGTCGACGCCATTTTTTGAAGAGATATTTGTTAGGAAATATGTATCTTGTGTTTTTATATATCGATGTCACTACCCTTTGTAGATTTTTGAGTTGAAAATTATATATGTTTTCATTAGATTTTGAATGTATATGACATGCTTATATTATTTAAGCGTGTAATGATAACTGCATAAAGATTGTCTGTTTTTGCATGAATCATTTTTTTTTATATATACAGATTTAATTTCACATCTATATATTTTTCAATTTATGATATATTTAAGATATTTTAAAAGTTCTCAGAGCTCTCACAGTTGTTTCCTTACGTGCTCAGTAAATGTTTTGTGAATGCAATTTAAATTTGGGCATTTCTATATTATGTAATTATAAAGAAAATGAATTGAATACACTTACAAAGGGTGCTTTTGCTTGTTCTGTCTTTGGGAGTTTTAGATATATTATCAGTTTACAGTAGAAGGTTTTTTGTTTATTTTCTTTAATTTTAGTTTTTGAAATTTTATTATTAAATATCCATTTTTGTGTGTTTATTATAAAAAGAGATCACGTGTAATTCACGAAAATATCAAAAGGTGCGAGACTCGGATTTGAACCTGCTGTATTAAATATAAAATTATTGTCTGTAATATATTTTAAAGAAAACCCTTACCCTGTAAACTGATGATGTAAAGTTTTTTTTTGTATAATTTAGTAATTTCTAGTTTAAACTGGCCCGAAAAAACGCCAAGCGATATGTAAATAGTAACGGGCAGTGAATAGTAACTAATAGACTGGCTATAAAATAATTTGAATCTCTATAAGAGTACCATATTTCACTTTCACTCGGATTTAACAATTTACGTTTGAATTGTCAACTTTTTTTTTTCAACGAAATCCTTGTATATTGTCATTTTTTTATCTATTATATTGTTTAGGGAATTGTCTGGTTCAGTGTGGTTATTGTATGAAGATTTGTTTCTTCATGACTTGTGACTGTTCGGTGTTGCCATTTGTAATTTAAATGTTCAACTTTTTTTAAAGTTGCCCATATAATTATTTGTAATATAATATATTATGGGTGTTTTCTATGGTTTTTATTTGTCAAAACTCTTTATGGGATAACCGGACTAGAGTGCATGGTGAAATGGAAATATGTATTTGTTTAATTTTATGATTTGAAAAATGACTTGTTAGAGAAATTTGAAAATTATATTAGTTATTTTTTTTTTCTTTTTTTTAGTAATATGATGAGCCAGTGGATTTTGTAAGTGTTAAATTAACAGTTTTTAGTTGCGATAGCTATACAGACAGTTTCCTCTTTGTTTCACTGAAACGTTTCGCCATTTTAAATTTTACTGCTTTTCAATTTTTCTTTATCGTCAAATTTTTAGAAATAATTGTTAAATTTATTCATATATTTCTATAAATAATAAGGGGATAGGACACATTGTGTTCACGGTGTGTAAAATGTATTTCGTATGAATACATCACAACGATTAGTGTGATTGTAATATATACACCCATTTTTATATGGATTTAGGCAAACTTACAATTAACAAAATTAATAGTTATTTTTAATTTACGTTTCTGTTTTATTCTATCGTCATAATAAAGAAGGTCTTAACTAACGATTTGGTCAAAAATGACTTAAACGCAGATCCGGAATCGGCAAAAAAAATGTTACTTGATAGTCTTACTCATAAAGCTCTTAAGTCTGTATACGGAAATATAATAACGATTTTCATCGTAACTACGTCAAAACTACTGCTAAGTACTAAAACAAAACTTCAAATATATCGAAATTAACTGGCGAAGTTGCGGCCTTCTTTTTTATGACGGCATTATTTATTTTAGGATTTTTTTATTAGACTTTGAATTTCTCTAAAAGTCATGAAATACAGCATTTTAGTTTTTATGTATTGTAAAGTGAGTGTCGCGTGGGATGAAGTATTGTTGAATGTTTTTATTCTAGAAGCCAAAGTCTTCTTAATGTAAGTGTAAGTTTAGTTTAACGGCGCGAGTCGAGTCGAGCGCTTGCTACATATTGTTAGTATGCAGAATAAATATAAAATTCATGAGTTTCATCTTGTTTTATTTCAATCTTATGTACCTTTTTTCCCTCTTTTTTAATGTTGGTAATACCAGTGGTTAATAGACCAATCGGAATCTGTTTATTTTTAAGAGAAAAAAAATTAAAACCTGAAGTTTGATAATTTTAAAATCTTAGCAGGTATATAAGGAATAGAAATTTGTATAATGGCCCCTATGCCCAGCTACCCCCGAGAAATGGGGGGACGAAAAGCGTTGAAAATTTGTTTTTTTTCAATTTCCGGCTTACTACTGGATAGGGTTCCATCAGGAACAAAGAAAAAATATCTATATATATATATAATAAAATTCTGAGTCAAATCTGTACATTAAATATTATTTTTAAATTATAAAGAAGTTTTTACAATTTTTGTCTGTCTGTGACCGCATCACAAGAAAACCACTGAACAGATTTTGATGAAATTTGGTGTGATAGCTGGTTATCCGGGTCCACATTTAGGATACTTTTTACTGTGAGAAAATATCTCATCTCTGAGAAATCTATACTAAAAGTAAAAAAGTAACTTTTATATAGAAATAAAACAATGGTTGATGGTATATATTTTTATTTATTATCTACAAAGTACATTTACTCACAACATTCAGTGTCATAATCTCATAACTTGTGATCTACGTGCCTAATGAAAATAAGCGTAAAAAGTAACATCTAACTTTCTAAGAGTTCATTAAACATTTAGCACTCACTACGTACTTATTTCGTGTAAATTGTGTAGAAATATTCAAAGAATATCTACAGAAATCGTGATGTTTTTATGAAAAATCTTTTTTTTATTATAAAACTGTATTTTAATACCATGGGGTCTCATCACGAACAAAGAAAAATTAGTTCAAATAAATGTCAAGAGATGACGTTACTTGTATCGATTTGTTATTGAAATTGTTATTGTTAAATTAATAAAAGATAAAAAAACAAATCCAAAAAGCGTGTATTATTATTTTAAAAAATATAATACACCAAGCCAAGGAAACGAGATAATGCGGTTATAAATCAAATTTACGTAATTTTACTGATTAATTGAAATATCAGCAAACAGATGATGGGTTAGAAGTGTATATTCACAGGTGGAGTTTTTACCTTTTATAACTTGTTTATCACTGTTAAAAATTGTTAATAACACTGAAATTGGTTTATTCGAATGCAGGATGAATTTTACAATATCTACCATACGTTAGTTTGCACATACTTATAAAATAAAACAGTTTTTCTATTTACAAATCAACGACATCTATTATCTATTCAAGCAAACAAAAATAGTCCGAAGAATAGCCCGAATTAGTGCTGACCAATTTCTTTGTATGGGATGAGGCATCTGCACTAGTGTAGTATTATGTGACCTGTGATAATACTATAAAATTGTAAGTATGCGTTAATATTAACTTTATTATGTAAAATTATCGCCATTTAACTTCCAAAATGTCACTATAAATATTCTATAAAGAGAAACAGAGAATTTATCACAAATAATTATAAACACCTGTCATTAACTGACACAATTTACACATCTTGTAAACTTAAACCTAAAAATAAAAAAATATGTACACAATAAATCAAGTCAATTAAGTACAATTTATATGTAAATTCTTACAAAAATAACAGAACCTAACTCCACTATATACATAAAATGGCACCTTTCTTAAAATATAAGGTATTACAAATAATATGGTAAATTATTTTATAATAATAATAATTAATTGTAAAAAAATCACATCAAAGTCCTTTGAATATATTAATACTGTAGCCTTATTATACGAAATGGTTCCTATACACAGCCGTTATATACTGTTACATAAATAAATGCGATGAGGAATGCCTATCTGGATTGCAAATGACCGTTTATTTAACAACACTGTATAATATACTATGTTTTGACTTGAAACGTGTTTAAAATCACATTGAAACATACGGGTAACTAGTCAGAAAAGTGGACCGTAACGAAATAGGTTGCATTAGGTTGCCATAGTAACCGTTGTTACCCACTGTAAATGTAAATTTACCAGGAAGCCTCTTTTGAGGGTACTAAAAATAATAAATAATACCAAAGTATTAAGAAAATCAATTATAATTTTTTTTTGAAACAGTAATGAGTCAAAATTCATATTATCACACTGTTATTAGTTAAACGGTATATAATTAAACAATAAAATGAATATATAATGGTAATTATTGACCAGAGAACTTAATATAAATCAAAAATTATTTAAAGTAAATCAGCACATACATATAAGTAAGTTAGCAAATACAGTCAATATGCAACACTACATTTCTACTAAACTTTGACATGTAATTTAAAATTTAATAGCAGTTCTTTAAACAATAGATGACGCCATTTTTTTTGTTAAAAAGTTTTACAATGTTAAACATTAACATTTCTGAATTCTAAAAATGACAGTGTTGAACAAAATTGTATAGATTAAATTAGAAACTTTTGCTACTACTTTAACTGCTTTAATTAAATTCCAACTCCAAGCAATAGTTTAACATGAAAATATATTGCTCATGGGCGATGGCAGACTTATTTCTAGTAAAAGTTTCAATTTTTAAATGATTAACTTTATAATTTTTATTCATATCTTAATTTATCATCTTTTTTTCACAAATATCTAAAGTTATACAGGCCTTTATTAATATTATTTTATTTGTTAAATTTTTTCTATATATTTTCCTTCATAACAGGGGAGTGCAAGTGCACTCCCTTGCACCACCGGTGCCCATGATTCTGCTTAATTAAAAGAAAAATCCATAAAAAACTTTAAGTCAAAATAGCAATTAGTGCGGAAATGACTTTTGTTATAAAACTAGCCTTATATTGTATCAATGGCAGTGTTACTTACATATACAATTATATTTTTTAATTAATATTTCGGGACAAGTCCTGAATACGTCTTGCATTACATTCTCTGCAGTATAAATGGCCATCTAACGGGTAGCAACCTCTTCCTTCTTCTTTAGAACAGAGCGAAGCACCGCAATCCTCACATGAATAACAAGCAATGTGAAAGCTTTTGTCTAAAGCTACTATTCTTACTGTTTCTTCATTACCACCTTCGGGTATAATGGGCTCTCTACAACGAGCACAACGCGGGGCATATCTGAAATATTCATTTAAAAGCAGTATTAATTTATAATTATTTTATTTATAACTATACATACTATAATAATTAAATATTGCAAGTAAATTTTAAATAAATAATTAATAAATAAATAAATATGTAGGGATATTAGCACACAGCACCATCTAGTTCCATGGTAAGCTATGAGGCCTGTGTTGTGGATACCAGATGGTTGATACACATATATAACTTTAAAAACAAACATATTATAAATATAAATACCTATGACAGGAGTACAAACAACATTGCTAATCACACAAATGAATGACCCCAGTGGGGCTTGAACCCACCCAGTGATCAAAAGTCTCAACATTTACCAGAAAGCCTCTTTTGAGGGGTACTAAAAAGGGCAGACTTCACATAATGTCTTTTGAGAACTTGAAGCTAGGTTCTCTCAGACAAGCAGATTTTCTCACAATATTTCTCTTCACTGTAAGACAAGGGGTAATCATGTTAGAAATGATTCGCACATGAAAATATTCAGTTGCGAGACCGGAATTTGCATCTGCTGCACTAGGTTTCCCAAGCGAGCGCGTTACCCCAGTGGCACTACCACTACCACTGCCATTAAGTTTAAGCTTGTTTTATTAAGTGAGTTGGTTACAATTATGTGAGTTCATAATATAATAAATCATATAAATTCTATTAAAAACTTTTAATTTTACTAAAATTACTAAGCTTTGGTTAAGGAACCCTTAGAAGTCTCTTAGCAATATATTTTAATAATTATATGCACAAAATGTTCTCCAAACAATCATTCTCTTATAAGTCTTTAAACTTTCATGGTCATTGACAATATCCCCCATCCTCTTACCTTTTATGAAAATCTTCAATACAATGAATGCGATTAACAGCATCCACAGTGAATGGAATACCATCAAGACTCTTTTGACATACTACACAAGTAAAGCAGCGGGGGTGATAGGGCTTCCCAGTTGCTCTCAAAATACGATCGAGTATAGGGTCGCCACAAACACAACATTTTTCAAGTGTTTCCAAATAATCTCTTTCGCATAGAGCTTTGCCTTGAACAGCATAGAAGGGCCTGCCCTGGAAATTAATAAAATATCAAATTTAAACATGATACTTTGTTAGATTAAGGATTATGTAGGGCGCCATTAGATATTAGAGGCAACAAACAAAAAAGTAATTCTATTCCCGCTAAAATCAACAGGAAACTTCTTTCACCAGTTCTTCCAGGGTTGAGGCTTTCCAAACTGATAGTAGATTCATGACATTCAGTAAAAATATATTAATGCTGAATAATCTATTTTGGATTTGAATTTAGAGGAGCTTAGACAGGGGAAAGAGATAACTTGGGGTGAATCATAAGATATTTTGAGAAAGTTAATGAAAATTTTCTGGAAATTAGATATTAACCTGTGTTTTTTGAAAAAATGGTAACATGAGTATTCCTGTGTACTAATGAATAAAAAAACAAATTTTTGGGACATTTAGAATTTTCATAGGTGTCTTTTTATGTATTCATAAAGCAAAAGCAACCTTCATTTAACTTAACAAACAGGTACTAAGCTTTTTAAGTGTGGGTGTTTCTTAATCTACAGTGCTGTGAAGACTGTAGTGCCATTTTCAAAATAAATAGTTAAGGTTGTGATTAGTATAAATTATTATAAGAGGAATACCATAATTTTGTATCACCTGCTTGAATTTAACACACATACATATGTATTGTGGATAATAAGATACAAAATTATATTTAATAAGGATTCTTAAATGGGAGTTATGTATCATTTAACTCCCTTTTCAACAGCTTGTACCCTGTTATTTGCCACAAGCAAGTGAGGTCTCTAATCCAATTTAAATTTAACATATTATGGAACTTTATGTTGCAATAATTTCTAATTCAAAGAGAAATGAACTAGGCAGGCATACTTAATATATTTGCAAATTATAATATACAGATTTTCAAATTTCGAATATTGCTTTCTAATAGTGATAAATTAAAATTGGCCTAATCCCCTTGGTATTAAAGCGGCCCATGCCCAGCAGTGGGATGTTAAAAAACAGAACAAGTATAAAAAGAATAAATTATGTAAAGTAAATAAAAATTTAAAATATAAATAATAGTGTATAGATATAAAATCTTATCTTTTTATATTCCATAATAATGTCTTGTCAAAGCAGAATTTTAAGATTTCTATAATATTCCTTTATTAATAAATTAATGCAACATACCTGAAGATTAATGGCACATTGGTGACAACAAAAACATTTAATGTGATATATTCTTTCCATAGCAGTACAACCAGTCGTCTCTCCCATGATTTTTTCACCACATCGGTAGCAATTACCACAATATAATGCTTCATCAGGTTCAGGTATAGGCTCAATAGCCGTACCAACATAACCACTATACAAAGATGTTCCAGACAGCTGACTGCATGGTCTAGGGTTAATTGGTTCATACAAAGACTCATAAGTGGACGAAGTCTGAGATCCACCATATGTAGAAAAGTCCTGAGCATTCACTGAAGCAGAAGACGGTGGATAAGCAGACCCAGGTCGCCGTAACTCGCTATAAGTCGATTGCACCCCTAAATCGCTTATTCTCGATACTTCAGATCGAGTATCTCGGTCGTAAAAACCTTCAATATTGCGTTGCATAGGGATGTTCGAATAAACATGGTTTGTGCCTCCTGGTGGTAACAAATTACTATACAAAAGGACATCGCCACTACGTACTCTAGCCGAATTCCTCACGATACAACTCTTCACTGGCACTAGGTTCGAGTATGTTGAACTAGTACGGCTGCCGTACTCTAATCTTGAAGAATAGGAAGGCTCACAAGCAGATTTTACTGTAAAACTCTGGGGTATCTGAGGTAAAGGTGCTTTGTTTTTTTTGGGAGGAATCGAGGGTTTCAATTTTGCAGCATTTATATCATCTTGTAATTTAGCATCTAATTCATTTGCGTAGATTCGCAAATCTGCCAATTGTTTATCAAGAGTATTCATTGTTATGAATTTATGAGGCCTAATAATGAATTAATTATGCATTTTATTCATAAATATACGAAAATTCGGCACTCCCTTTGCAAAAAAATATCTATCGCCTTGTAAAGTGTAAACACAGATAAAATCTGACAAACGATGAGTGAACCTGTGACACTGACTTTTTAAATTTATCACAGAATTAATTATCTGCATTCTCACATTTTAGCCTATAATGATGGCCTGTCTGTTTTATTAAAGGTAAAAACTAAAAAGCAAAGAGTAGTGATAAGATTTACATTCTATTGATTTAATTAATATTATGGCGAAAATAATGCTTTCGTTCAAATAGAAAAGGATTCGAGGCTTACCTAGGTAGCTGAATGTAATAATAATTTCGTTCTTGGACGGTTGATATGTTTGTTCATAAAAGTAATTTCATGCTGTATCAGCGTAATATATTTAGGCAAGCGCGGAAGCAAATTATAATGTACGTGAAGGCGCCGTGAGGGCGGTTCAAGGAGATGCACTTGAACCTCCCTGCCCTGAAGGAAAATATATAGAAAAAGAAAAAAAAAATTATGAGTAAAATCCCTGTTTAAATTAAGATATCTTCAAAAAATAGACGATAAATAAGATATGAATAAAAGTTGTAAAGTTATTCATTTAAATAATTGTTAATCGTTTAATCTTAAGAAACAGATGCACCCCTCTGAAAATAATTCTGCCGCCGCCCATGCATACACTTACATATATGTGAAGTTACAGCAACGTAAATTGTATGAAAATATAATATAATTATCAGTTATAAAATCTTGTTTAAGTAATAACTTTAAAACAAAGTGATTGTGGTTTACATGTTTTTAATTGAACAATAAAAAACTTATACCTACCAATTACGTGATTGCTCGCTGTGTTGTTCTTAAATTACTAGGCGAAGTATGTTAACAATGGCAAAAAACACAAAAATAATGCTATATTTATCAACATTATTATTGCAGGTTTGTTTTTTTTATATATATTGTCATTATTGTATATTACAAACTAACAAAAAAAAATTAAGTTAAACAATCTAATTAAAAATTAAAATAATTATATCACTTTCAGCTAAATGCAATAAATTCAGAAGAGGACGATGGTATGTTGAATTACGTAGGTACTTACGTGGGTAGCATATTACTTTATCCATTAAAAAATATAAATTATTAATGAATGTATTTTAGATTTTGGGACTACAGAACCAAGTGAAGAAGAGGTAATATTATTTTTTATTCATAAGTTGAACGTTGTTAAATTCAAATATTAATTATTTTTAACTTGTTTTTAGTGGCATATGGATTTTATGCCGGTAAGTATAAACAAGACTTTAAGGCTTGAAATAGAATACAAAATTAAAATTAAAATCCTATTATACTTATTAATTTTGGACAATGTTAAAGACTGGATATCTACCAGACAGCGTCTACAGAGAACTAGCTTGGTATGGGATACTGCAAATTCAACCTTTACACCACAGCACTAAACATAAAGTTGCTGCGCAACTAATCTGGCAACATACACTTGGAAGACCATACGTGATCATGGAAAGTCCTCCTCAGGTACTTCTTTGTTAATAATATATTGATGGATTATAAATAAATCTATAATAAATATACAATGTTAATTTACTAAATTCATCCACAAATGTATTTTTAAAGTCAACTCAATCAGAAGGTAAAGTAAGTCGACAAATACTAGCCGAAGAGGCCGCAAAGTGGTCAAGAGAGCAACGTGCAGCGCAAGAAGTGCTTATGGAAAATATCAAAAGTGGCGGAAATGGTCTTACCGTCAGAACAGTAATCAGCGCTCAACATAAAACGACGTACATTATACAAAATGGTATATTAATAAAATAAATATTATCAAAACTAAATATTTATAAAATATTTTTCATATTGTAGATTAATGTTTATCAAATATTTTTCATATCGTAGGAAATTATTACACATGCCCAGAAGGTTCTGAACCTGATCTAGATGCCTACAGAATGCAGGCCAATATGCACGAAAGAAAATGTACTTTTGGAAGGTCTTCTATCCCTGTACCAATAGATCCTTGCATCGAAGCGGAAGTAGCACCCATAGAATATTCCTTTCATGAAGGATGGATGTTTTGCCTCGGAAATGGTGAACGGGAAAATAATTATTTCCAAAATGGTACATTAGATTGTGGGAATAAAACAAAGGTAAGGATAAAGTAGTACATTTACTGGTAATTAAAAAAAATCTTTTTAAACCTTCACTTACTTTCAGATTTCGGTGGACGAATTTTTAGAAAAATGTGCCATTGATAATAATGTAGTTATATCATTCGACTACTATGGTGATGAACCTAGAAAGGATTTGTTACATAATGCTACTTTATGCACTACTTGGGATCCATGTAAATTATCCTATTTATATAGATTAGAGGTAATATTAATACATTATGTGATTATAATTTATACCAATAAAACTTTACCTAAAAAAGACAACAACTTATCATCATTTTGTAATATACTTTAAATATTAGCCCCCACCGGTTGAACTCGCTCCTGCTTTTCCAACCACGACTACTAATCCTTGCGAGACAACAATATGTCCAGAATGTATGGAAGGATTCACTGGTGATCAAGGAGTTCCCATCGATTGTAAGTTAATTAAAGACAATTAATGATAATTTTATATTATCGATATTGAGTATTCATTAACATCATTGTATTTTTTTCAGTGGAAGAAAAGTAGAGAGATTTACAAGACTCTTCGTTAAACATTTTATTATAATTTTACCAGGGTTCCAAAAAAGTTAAATTCGGCCGGTTTTTATATCTAAGGCCGTTGAATAATAAGAAATTAACGAAATATAATGTACTTATGAATAAAGTTCAAGAAACTCAAAATATTAAATACGATATTTATGAAAATAGTGTTTTAAATCCTACACAATTTACAAACTGTATTAATCTGTGTTTTTTATTACTAAGGAGGACATAATATTATGTAGTCGAGGACTGTTAGTCGATATCATAGGTGAATAATTATTAACTCGATATCTTTATTCATTGCGGCTTCCTAGACACTGCTATTGACCATTAATTTTTACAAATCTACTCGAATAAGTAGACAAGAAACAATAAACTATATTTTTAAATGTTACCATAATTATGCTTAAACCATAGTTTATTTATCCGCCACAATAATTATAATAGACTGTTATGTAAAAAGTATCCTATATGTTGAACCGGATTACCAGCTATCAACATACCAAATTTCATCAAAATCCCTCCAGTGGTTTTTCTGTGATGCGGTAACAGACAGACAGGCAGACAAAAATTCAAAAAAATATAGATTCGGCCTCTGTATCGATATGTTTATTTCAATAAGATTTTCCAAAAAATATTTAATGTACAGATTCGACTTAGTTACAATTTTATTATATGTATAGATAAAATTAATTTCAATCAGCTGAAAAATTGAAATTAAATTGTACAAACCTATTATGTAAAAATGCCATTGTTAATGTTTAATCTATCTGTTTATAAATAAAAGTTTATTATTTATTAAAAACAAAATTTATAGTGTAATCAAAAATGATTTTAAAATATATCCGAAAATAACAGTAAAAATTTAAAGAATAGTATAAAAAATGTTTTAAAAGACAACAAAATCGAAAGTGCATAATAATTACAAGTCTCCCGCGACACCATTCAGACAAAGACAATAGCACTCCCAAGAAGGGTTGACGTCAGGCAGGCGGCCGGTCGTAAAACTTTTGCCAAATCCTATCAGCAGTACAAAAGATGTACTGCGCCGACCCCAAGTGATTGGGAAATGGGCAGGGAGAAGAAGATTATTAATTAAAAAAATAATATTATTAAATGTGCATCACGGCAACTGTAGTAATAAGAGTGGTTAAAATCTTAAAAGGTGGCAATAATTATAATAACTGTCAATGTTTAATAAACCAATATTCATCAATGTCATGGGTGCACGATGACAAATAAAAATCAATGTGACAATTGACAAATGTCAAAACCATGCTGATACCTAATACATGTTAATAAAAGAATTTGTGGTTTTCTGACAAATAAATATGGTTTTAATTCAACCCTTTCAAGATTTATTTGAATCTCTTGATAAAACTACAGCAGTTAATTTACCAACAAGTAAAGAAAATGCATTAAATATAGAATTCTATAGTCTTCAAGTAAGTAATAAATTACATTGATTACTAATATATTGTGAAATAAGTATTGTACTACGTTTGTTTTAATTTAATAAAAATGCATATATACTGTAAGATAGTTGTACATAAAAATGAATTGGTTTACTTCTGCTATACTTTTTCATAATAATAGTACTTAAACATATTTATCATGATTTTTGTACAGGACATAAATTCCCCTAAGGCAGTATATAAAGGCCAAGGACCACTGCTACCATTTGCTGCTAGTGAAGTTTTCTATGCACCTATTAATGAATGGAGAAGGTTGACAGCTGTAGATGATAGTTGCAAAACAGTTTATGAAGTAACATTTGATATCAATGTAAGTAACCCAAAAAAAAACATGTTTATACAGTAGTGATAAATCACAATACTAAAGTATTAATTGTATTTTTTGAAATAGATAAATATTTTATTGCACACATAAAAAAATACTATAAAAGATAAATTACAAAAAAAGATAACATGCATGCATAGGCGGTCTGGTCTTACTGGTATGAGCAAATTCTACTAAATATCTTGGAAATGTTTTGTGGCATTATATTACTGATACTTTTATATCTAAAGAAAAATTCTCAATCTATACATAGTATATACTCTTTTGATTGTGTGCCTTAAAATCAGATATATATATATATATATATATATATATATATATATATATATATATATATATTAGACTGATTCAAAAAAACCGACTATTTTTTTTTTTTTTTAATATTGAAAATATTGTCAGAAATGACGAAAAAAAAATCCTGTGAAAGTTAGAGCTCTTAATATTAATATTAAGAGGTGCCGAGTGGAAAATTTCGATTTCCCATTTGATTAACGTGGGAAATTTTTTTTTTCTTACTTTGGAATTCTGTAGCTCTTTAACAAGTCATCGGATTGGTTGAGTCAGAACATATTCTTGTAGAGAATTGAACGCTCTACAAAAAAGGTCTCTTATGATTTTTTGATATATTTACTTTTTCAAAAGTTATTCAACCCTAAAGATGAATTGATTCAAAATTTTTACATTTTTCTAATTTTCCGACGCAACCATCAACTTTATGAGAAAATTTAATAGGACTTTTTTGTAAAACATTCAATTTCCTATAACTTATCTCTCAAAACGACTTCATTGAGAAAGATGTTAATTCTTGGGCTAGTGATGGAAGTTTTAAAGAGTGTGTGCGATTTTTTACAAAATTAACAGTCGTGAATGACGTGGCGGAGCGTGGTGTAGCATTAATTGAACAATACAATAAGTGTTTCACTAAAAATGAAGATCAACTACAATACTTATTGCTAATTATTAGTGAATACAGAAAAAAAGTGCCCAATTGTAATAGAAATTTTTTAGTTTAACGATATAAATTGCTTTGATAATAATAAACATTCAATTTTTAGGTTAAAACTTTATTTGTTTAACATGATAATTAATTTTAAGAATAAAAATGAAAACTTTTTAAAAAAAATTTTAGTTTTTTGCAAATAACTTCCGATCTGTAAAAAAAATTTTAATTTTTTGAGAGATAAGTTATAGGAAATTGAATGTTTTACGAAAAAGTCCTATTAAATTTTCTCATAAAGTTGATGGTTGCGTCGGAAAATTAGAAAAATGTAAAAATTTTGAATCAATTCATCTTTAGGGTTGAATAACTTTTGAAAAAGTAAATATATCAAAAAATCATAAGAGACCTTTTTTGTAGAGCGTTCAATTCTCTACAAGAATATGTTCTGACTCAACCAATCCGATGACTTGTTAAAGAGCTACAGAATTCCAAAGTAAGAAAAAAAAAATTTCCCACGTTAATCAAATGGGAAATCGAAATTTTCCACTCGGCACCTCTTAATATTAATATTAAGAGCTCTAACTTTCACAGGATTTTTTTTTCGTCATTTCTGACAATATTTTCAATATTAAAAAAAAAAAATTGTCGGTTTTTTTGAATCAGTCTAATATATATATATATATATATATATATATATATATATATATATATATATATATATATATATATATAAATAAATGTTAGCAATGTCATAAAACTTCATCCCCTATTAATTTAATTTTTATTTCATTTCCAGGGGAGCAATTTTAGTTATAAACCAGGGGACACCATTGGCATTATACCTCGCAACAGTAAAAGAGAAGTGCAGCTCCTAATTGATCACTTGGACTTAAAAAGAAATCTTGATGTGACTTATGCACTCAAATTAAATACTGGCCAAAAAGGAGCAAAAATTCCATTGCATATACCTATTAAATCAAATCTGAGATATGTTTTAAATAACTGTGTTGATCTAAGAGGTATAGTCAAAAAGGTAATTATTTTTTGGAATATTTAATACGAAAAAATTAATAGAATAACACATGAGTGAAATAAATATCTCTATGAGTCAAAGCAACATTCAGCCATGCAACAATAGGTACACTACTACGTAAAACGGTGTTGTGTGCAGACTGCACATATTGTAGTTTTGAGTGTAATATGCTTGGTCTGAGATTGTCAACAGCTTAAGCCGGAATTAATCGGATTTGTCAACTGGCAATGCATTCGTCAACTCGTCGGAGAGGTGTCACACCCTTGTTATTGTTCGGTTTTGTTGCTGCCCTTGTTATTTGGATAATGTACAATTCTTTACTAGTGGAAACAAAGTTTGAGTTAGAGTGTCAAATTAAACGGAAGTTCTGATTATTCGAAATCGTAGTTAAAGCTTTGTAACATTTCTATTCTAGGGATATGAGTATTGAATATGTATTGTGTCTCTTGAATGACATATGTGAGGAATGTAAAATTTTTTTTTGTTCAATGTTAAATTAAAAACGTAATACATAATTTTATTTCAGCTATTTCTTCTGGCCCTTTCAAAATATACACAGGACAAGAATGAGAAAATGATTTTAGAATACTTGTGCAGTAAGGAGGGCTCGACTGCATATACATCACACATTTTAAATAAACAAATTTGTATATTGGACTTGTTTATATTATTCAAATCATGTAAACCACCTGTTGAAGTTCTGTTAGAACATCTCCCAAGACTTTTACCAAGGGCATACTCAATTGTCAATAGAAAGAGTGATGACAACAGATTAAAAATATGTTTTTCTGTCATTGATATTGGTAATAGCAGAAAAGGTCTTACTACTGGTTGGTTAGAGAGTATCATTTTAGGGAAAAATCTTGAAGAAATGATGAATAATTTAAGTATGGATGAAGAAAGTAGTTTAATTCCTATATATATTAGGAAAAATGTGAATGAATTTTACTTACCCATTAACAGTGAATGTCCACTTATTTTAATCGGCCCAGGAACTGGTGTATCACCATATATTGGATTTTTAGAAGAAAGGGAATATTTACAGAAAGCTCAACCAAATATGGGTTTTGGTGAAGTATGGTTGTTTTTTGGGTGTCGAAATCCTAAATTAGATTTTATATATGAGAATGAACTAAGACATTTTGAAACACAAGGAGTTATTACTAATTTACAGACAGCTTTTTCTAGGCTTGAAAATACTGACATTTGTTATGTACAGGTAATATTTTTAGAGCTAAATATTAAAATATAAATTACACTTAAAAAAACTTAAAAATGATAAAATTCAATTTATCTAAATTAAATAAGTTTTCTTTATATTAATTTAAAATAAACAAAGTATTTCTATTAAATATATATAATAATTTTTAGGATGCTATGATCAAGAAAGGCAAAGAACTTACAAACTTAATAATGCAAGGTGCATACATATTTGTTTGTGGGGATGTCAAAGTGATGGCAACACAGGTGAAAGAAGTTATTGTGCAATTTATAGAAAAATATGGTGAAAAAACTAAAGAAGAAGCAGAAAATTATTTAATCAATATGCAAAAAGAAAAAAGATATCTAATTGATATATGGAACTAATAAAAGTACATGTACAATATTTAGTTAATTGTAAATAAAATATTTATATCAATTTATAGAAATATGTTTTAATTTTAGAATGGGGTATAATGAAACATACACACGTGATTTACAAAAATAATTTAATAGGCAAATCTCTAGTAATAAAATGTTCAAAAAGTGTCATTGGTGTATATAAACTTATGTCTATGCGATCTAGCTTCAATACATTAACACAATTTTCGTTGTGCGGCAAAATATGCGTTAAACCTAGCAATAATACAATTACAACTAATCAAAGCAGGCACTCTTGGTGGAGGGCACTTCGTAAAAACTCCATAGAGGTTGGCTGTTATGACTGACACTAATGAAAAATATAAAAAATCAGACTTTATTGTCTGTAACTTTTTACTATATTACACAATGTAATGATCAACAAATATTGAAAAATCAAGATAATGAAAAGGGCCCTTATGAGTTGTATTTTTTTTTGTAGCAAGTACCTAAAAATATTATTTTAGATTAGTATTAGTAGAAGATGTATGGAAAATAGCAATATTATACATTAGGTATTGTCCTATTTATTCTCAATACACTTACATGCCTAAGATTATTCAAAAATATGAGTGTAAAAATAGCATTTAGTATCTTCCTTTTATTATTATTGTATTAAGCCGTTTTTAACGTCCCACTGCTAGGCATGGACCTCCTTTCAATGCGAGGGGATCAGGCCATGCGGGCGGACTTCACATGTCTTTTGAAAACTTGCTAGATTTTCTCAGACATGCAGGTTTCCTTCACCGTAAGACAAGTGGTAATCATGTTGGAAATGATTCACATATGAAAATACCAGGGGTGAGAGACCCGGGCTTTGAACCCGCTTCACTCGGTTTTCCATGCGAGCGCGTTACCACAGGGCTACCACTGTCTTATTATTATCATCATATAAACTCTTGGCATAATTTATCCCAATCACATTGGAAAATTAAATGGGATAAATGAGAACAATATTCTTTTGGACCCTGTAAAATACTGACAAACTTAAATGCACTGAAAAATTTAATGAACAGTTAATTTGGCGCCATAATGCATAATAATATAACAATATAATAATCAATACTAGAATACATAGGCCGTTCCAATTAACTTATTGCTATATGCACTTTCCATATAAACTAATCACTAGAATTACTCGTTATTGATAGTTTATTAATTAACAATTTTGTAACTAAATATATCATTAGATTGCCATTCATATTTCACCCTCTAATAGCCGATTCCAATAAATTGTTAGCTTTTAACATCAACTCGATCTTATCCCAGATATGGCTACTGCTTAAAATAATACAAAATAATACTAAATTAAAAGTGTTTCATTTTTATAGTACATTAATAATAAGTTTAATTCAATCTACATTAAATAAAACACTAAACAAGATGGCCGCTGTATTTCTTTGATATAAAATATGGAGGGTAGATGTAAAGATAATCGTCATATATGGAAAAGAAGTTGAAAAAGTGTCTCATGTAAGCGGTAAATAATTGTTCAAAAACATACCAGAAAGGCGCTAGCGTAACAAGGGGGTATAATATGAATTTAGTTAAGTTAGTTGTAAATGGGGTGAAGGTGATTTGTTTTATGTAGTCCAACATAATTTAGTAAATATAACGAAAAGTCTGTGGTGATGGGATGATTTATTTTATTTGAACTTTTAATAATATATTTTTGGCATTTGTTTCATAACATACCCGCTTGCTACTGTGGCACCATCCTAATTTAACGCTTTTCGACGGACACGTTTTCATCACAGAGATAGTTCTCCTAAGGTCTAACCTCCATAATATAAAATCACGTTTAAATTAAATGTGGAACGATTTTTAATCACATATTGCACAGATTTACAATATACAAAAGCAATAGGATTTAGGGCCTACATACATTTTATTTTTTATCTGCATAGATTACAAGGCAGAAGTATTGGCGGCGAGTAGATTTCTTAACCATTTGTAGCAAAAATAATTTTATAACGACGACCAATGAAGTCACAAATTTTGTTTATAATAAAGTAAATAAATTTTTTACTGTTTTGGATAGCATTTAATATGCATATTAGTTACAATAACAGTTAGTAAATCTAAACACTGCCAATAGTTTAGAAAGTTTCTTTCAATCCATGAAACATAGTCCAAAGTCAAAGAATATGAGCATAATGTCGTTACAGTCTTAATTATATCTTAAAAGCTAAAAGCAATAGAGTAATTATATTTGGTCATTTGAAGACAGTCATCGAAAATAGGAATGTAAAAGGATCAAAGGTTACGAGTAGAAAACCAGTAAAGTATTTTGTTCTTTTTATAGAAAAATGTAAAAATTTGGAAGATTTGTTTTTTTTTTAAATATTTTCTTATAAATAAAAAAATGCCACATACGATTATTATAAAACTAGATACCTAAAAATAATGTCTATGTACAGCTTTTTTGGTAAATTCATAGAAACAAAACTGCACTTACTTTCTACAGTCTAGAATATATTCATCGTTCGAAAGCAAAAGTGACTGCCGTCGTATCTATCTATACCTATACGTTCTTATCACTGCAAATAAATTGACTCCTTCATATATTCACATTCAGTTTCTCGATATTGTACCTTAACACTCGATTTCAAGGTATGATTTCGTCTAATTCCTGCACAGATGTTTCTCGACATCCTACGCGTTCCTTTAGTTATAAAAGCAATTACCCTGTGAAGAGTAATTTAAAAAAAAACAGTCTTAACAAACCTTTGGTTCATTCTTTATATTATTTACATCGTTTAGAATTCATTTATTCTTTAAAATGGAAATTAAGCCGTTAAGAAACTAGCTTTGCTTTATATGGAATAATATTTTTTACTTATTCAGTATTGATTATTTCTTACATATATGGACTAAGTTAAAAAAGTCATGATTTTAAAACTTTTATAGGCAGTTGTTTTTAATGCAATATTATTCAAGATACGACGGCACACATTTTGTAAATGGAATACAATGTATAGTTTTTGGACAGATTAAATGATTATAGTCTAAGATCCCGATCTATGTGGTGGACCCCTCATTCTTTTTTCAGGCGAAATATATTTTTTAAACTATAAAACTATTAACAAACACGACTCTGGGGGGGTTGTCACCAAAAATTTGCTCCAAACTATTTTTTTATAAAGCTCCAGGCAAAGTTTTGGTGACCACTCCCCTGGGTTGTCTTAGTTAATATGTTTTATGGTTTAAAAAATATATTTCGCCTAGAAAAACAATGAGGGCTCCACTACATAGATCAGGATCTCAGACTATTAACCCTTAAGTAAATTTAAAGCTTATATGACAAAGCTTAACATTTTATTTTTACATAATATGGCGTTTAATTGTACGTACACTCATACCTATTACGTGAGAATAATATGCGTGATGTATATCTATATCAGTGGCAGATTATATTATATCTACTCAAGAGCGACGATAAGAACAAACGCGGCGTGCGTTCTACCAAATACACAGCGATTTATACAAAATTTTCTTTGCTAAGAAATTCTGATTCGGAAATCGTTGAAAACGTATGACTCGCAACTTAACTTGAATTAATCGTATATTAATGACAATTTGAGGAGTCGACCATCTTTTTTTTCATTGTAATCACAAAGGTGAACAAAGGTATATTACGGTTAAAGTCAATGTCACGTTGTTAACGTAATCTGACGTTTTTTTTGTCATTATTTAATATTACGCAAGCGCATAGTTGTTTCCATCTACTGATTCTTTTAAATTAAAATCTTTTCCTATGATGTTATAGGTAGAAAACAAAACACGATATCCCTAACCGTGTAATTATTTATAAAATTGGCACGTTCAATAAATTTGAGGAAGAATTAGGTATATCATTTTGGAGTTGAATTTCATGAACAAATTATTTGGCAGTTGGTACACCTTTGCTTAAATATACGTATTTAGCAGTTTTGTAAATAACATAAAATTGTTCAGCGATACTTTTCAGTTTTAACTGTTTAGTTATTTTTAATTCAATCGAAGTTTTTGTGCAGAATCCGGTGCGCTGCTTTGATAAGAGGCGTCAATGTTCTCAATTCCATGGCGCAGTTTAAAAATGGATGTTTCAATAATTCATCTGCGGTAGCTCGCTGATCTGCGTCGACTTGCAAGCACTTGTCGAGGAAATCTTGAAATTCTGGTGATAATTTTTCCCATCTAGGTACTTTAGGCCGGCCTACAGCTGCGATAAGATATAACGCTTTCAAGGGAGTTTCTTTCATGTATGGTGGCTCACCTTCAATCATCTCAATAGCCATAATTCCCAACGACCACACATCTACTTTTTTGCCATATTGCTTTCTTGTTACGACTTCAGGTGCCATCCAATACGGCGTACCGACCATCGTTTGCCGTTTCTCATCTCCTACAATGTTCGCGCAAAATCCGAAATCAGTTACTTTTACTGTGCCGTCCATTCCAAGAAGAACGTTATCAGATTTGATATCTCTATGGATAGTGCCTTTAGAGTGTAAAAAGGCGATTGCCTGTAAAGTTTCACGGCATACGGCAGCAATTTGGCCTTCTTTCATGACTACTTCTGTAACTACATCTGTTAATGAGCCTCCATCTAATAACTCCATTGCAACCCAGAGGTGATCAAAACATAGGAATGAATCGAGGAAATTGACAAGATTTTTATGATTAAACCCCTTTAAAACATTTATTTCATTGAGTATGAGATCCTTTTTGGTTTGTTTAGTTAAGTCTATATCCTTTATAGCGACTCTAGAGTTGTCTGTGTTGTCTATTGCGATGAACACGACACCTGGAGATGAAATATGAATTAATTTAAAAAAAGAAATTACAACACTAAAAATCTATAAATGAAAAAAAATGTTAATGGAACACGATATTCTTAAAAATACTGTACCTACTGTACATGAATGATATACAAATTAGGACAAGGTGTTATCTGTTATTATTATATTACATTAAAAACCAATTTTTTTTGGTATTTAATAGCTTTTTGAATAATAAAAACAACTTGAACATCTGTTTTTCTAATACTTGTCTTTCATAAATGATAGCTACTATGATATTATTTATGTCTGTTGTCATCATATTATTTGCCATATGAACAAAAGTGTTTACGAGAAAGAATAGAGGGTAAGACAGATGTAGACACCATTGCATCATAGTACTTTAAAGTGTTAGGAAAATTATTATAATTTGTTAATTTAAACACAAATTAAACTGGATACTGTTATAACAAAAAATTTCTCAATTGAATGGCAGATAAAGCTTAAACCTGCAGGACTGTGAGCATGAAGATCTACAGTACCTTTTATTATAATATGTGAATCATTATAGGTGGGCCCAATTAAGAAAGTCAGAAAATTCATGAATTAATAGGAGGTAAATGTAGTATCGGAGTGTTCATATTTGTACTTTAAAATATGATAATTAATGTTAAGGCTGGCCTGATCAAATTCCTTATTAGGGTACAAAGAACAAATAAAAATTCCAGTACTGAAAAATTATGCAACACAAAATGTCAGATAAAAAAAGATTATGCATAAGACTGTGGTTTAATCTGATTATAGCAATTGATTCTAATTTGCACAGTTGTATTTAATTTTTAGCTTCTGTCATAGTCAATATAAGATGCCCAATTTCTTTAAAATGTTTATATTTAATACCTGATTTATAACAGACTAGCTACACACCCTCGCTTCGCTCAGGTTTGTTCCTAGTGAAAAACAAATCTCTGCCACGAGTACCATACATTTTTACAGGATAAAAATGAATTATCATTTCAATAATTAGAAAGTAACTGAATACCAGAAAAGGTCAGGTAAAATTATTATTTAAATCAGTTAATTCGAGATGACACTGGGTTGTTATTATATAGAATAAAGTTTTTAAGATTTTCATATAAATTGTGCTATGAAATTCAGTGAATAATAAGCTTTTGGAACTTGTGTTATTAAAACAGAAACAACATCTTAGGTTAAGTATATAAGATTACTTTTAAATAGGGTAGGTATTACAGTTAAAAAAAAAAGGTATTACAACATAATATCTACAAATTAGAAAGCTTTTTCACGAGAAAAGTAAATAATATTTAGTAGATGTGTGTTTGTTTATCTTAGCTATTAGTATATCTGTTGTTAATTACTGTTTCAGATAACAATCTGATTACCTTTGCTTTTTTTTCAAATTTATGCTAAGCGTATGAGAGTTTGGCCTAAATAACAGCTTTACTATGCTGTTTCTTTAACATTGTGCAATCAGCAATACAATTATATTTCATGACAAATATTCAGTGTATGTGTAGTAAAAACACATCACTCCATTGATAGCTTGCATTAAAGGCTTATCTATTTATAATATTACTAGCAGAACCCGCGGCTTTGCTCGCGCTAAAACTACAAAAACAAAATTCTAAAAAGGTAGGTTTTCTTACAAACTTTTTTCCCCTATTTTACCCCTTATGAGATGAATTTCGAAAAATGCTAAAATACGTATTTCTTTAATTGTATTGAAGAGACTTAATACCATGTTTCAAGTAATTCTGATAGTCAATATTTTTTTTGGTTGTATTATATTGTGTTTTCCCATGGGAGTAAGATAAACTCCGGCGATAAAAAATAGCCTATGTCACTCTCCAGCCCTCCAACTATATCCACACAAAAAATCATGTCAATCCGTCACTCTGTTTCGACGTGAAAGAAAGACAAACAAACACACTTTCACATTTATAATATTAGTATGGAAGTATGGATATAGTAAGCATCCTAAAATAATAAACCCTATATTATTGAGTATAATAATTTAAAAATATAATATTGATGTTTTACAGAATAGTAAGTTTGTTTGTTATTTATTTCAAAAAGCCTTTGTATTATTCTATATATGCAAGTTACACGAAAAAACTAAAATAAAATTGATTAGTTTAATATTACATATTTGTCAATAGTATGAATAACTCAACTATAACAATAATAGCCACTTACATACAATTGTATGGCATACAGGTTTTTATTTTAAAATTCACTCTAAGATTCAGATATTGTTTAATCACATAGTCAAGGTTATAGATTAAGATAAAGTTTCATTGTCTGCCGTCTTCACATAGCCTCGAAAATACATAATTTACTTGTTTGTCCTTTGTAATTTGACAAACCTGATGTTATGATTTGACATATTAATATTGTATTAATTAGTTTCAAATATGATGCATAAATATAAGTTTTGTTTATTCTTTTATATTCTTGAGAAAATTTTTAAATAAGAAGAAATCCATTATTATAATATGTTAAGCACAATAACCTCAAGTTAGAAGTTAATTATGTTTGACCTTGTAATAAAAGTTTTTATGTATGTATGCATAATTAATATGAAAAGGCAATATTACCTGAAGCTCCTGCACCAAGTTGTTTAATTCTCTCAAAACGAACATATGGATCATCTTTATTACAAATCCTCTTCAATTCTTCATATATTTCTTCATCACTTAATGTTGCATTCATCAGTTCTTTTTTTCTCAAAATTGGGCTCTCTTCAGGTTCAGTTCCAAGACCTGAAAAGTCTTCAACTATTGCTGTCAAGTCCATCATTGCATCTTTTTTCTTTAGACTATTTTTTATTGGTGATGCTGGCATAGTTTGTCTCTGTGAAAATGTGTCTGTAGGAGCAACATCTTCTTCACTACTTTGACCTATTGAAATATCTGAATCTTGACTTTGGTGAGCATTTTTCTTTGCTAAAAACTTTTTCATCTCCAATCCTTCTTTTGTAATTGCTTCTTCGGTCACGATGGGCTTGCATGGTTCGTTTTCTGCCTGTTCCTTTTTCAAAACGTGAAAATTGTGAAAAGCAACAGCTTGTATCGCTGCGTTCGGATTTTCTTTCTGTTCTGAAGGCGATATTTGTGCGTTCAGCTGTCGCAGCCATGATGAAGGTAATCCCTCTAACATGCCAGTTTCAGAGTTCATACTGACATGTATATGTTGCTTAACATTGGTAGGCATACCAATCTCCGTTACTCTTTCATCTTTCGGATACTGCTTCTTTGAGAACAGCTTCCCAAACACACCACGGCTTGAGCGTCCCGTCATTGTGGCTTATTTCTTTTTCTGTATGTAATTAAGCCATAAAACTTTAAAAAAACTGTTTCTGAGATCACAACACTACATTTCTCGCGTCAGATTTTGGTAAATTAAAACTAATTAAGTATTACCGAGATAGGAGTGGCTAATCACGGACGGACAAAACTGAAGACATCACATCAGATATACTTTATCATCTGTCAAATATTTGGCAATACACAGAACAAAAAGAAATTGATACTCATTCCACGCAGATACATTGAGAAATAACAAATTAATTAATTGTAAATGTGATATAAAACACTAACTACACTACTTTTTGTCAAAAAAATTATATAAAATTGTGAAACATAAGTATATGGCACATAACAATAAAGAATTAAAATGTATTATCCACCAATGTTGTGTATGTTTGCCGTTTTCAATATTAATGTCCAAAGCTAGAATGGAACGTTGTTTATATTTTTTATGTTGGCATAACTGACTCGCTGATAAAATAGGTTTATAAATAGGAATTTCGGATGATTCATTCATAAAAGCAAAGAAGAAACTCCGGTTTTACTTGAAAGTCATTGTAAGATAATAATATGTGAATTTAAACTTGATAAATAGTATGTGAATTTAAACTTGATAAGAGTGATTTTATTTATATTTACAGAAGTTTCGTAAGCTAATTTATTTCAACTTCATACGATCCTGAAATCAGTCATTTCAAAAAATAATTAGATTAGGTATTATAAAATACAATTAATATAATAACAGATTCAGATCATATATCTAGTAAATTAGCCGAAACATATTATTTAGTTTATAGTGTATTTTTCAGAACTTGGAAAATGTTCATGATCTTTTCTTTCCAATGAAAAATAACTTGAATTTTAATTAAATTTCGTTAATATAAATAAATAAAATAAATTAGTTCAAGGAAATTATTCTGTTTCTAAAAATAGTTATGAGAAATTATTACTCTATATATAATGTAAACTATAAGTATTGTTTTGTAAATTGCTACAGATTTTATACCAGGCGTAATAGATACACAGTACTTTTTATTTTTTGTACTTTTTAATAGATAGACATTATACAATAGCGAGTACAAGAACGTAGTAAGTATAATAATAATTAAGGTCACTACCTGCCATTCGGGTCGGTCAAGTAGGTATCATTGGAGTTTTCTTTTTTTAGTAATCATTTAGATTCTAGAAATTTTTAGAAACAGCTCGGAGGTAATAAATTGGCGGTGTTTCACTCCAGTGCATCGGAGAGCACGTAAAGTCTTGGTCCTGCGCCTGGTCTCTCATCGGTCGTGTCGAGTTGTCATCAAACCGGTGTTGAACACATCGATCAAAAAGGTACTAGATACACAATCAGCGACAAAAAATGTCGTCATCGAATGAACGCTCATCTGAACATTAGAGCGCGATTTTAATTGTTTTTGTTGTGAAAACAAGTTTAAGCATTGCATTTAAGGTTTAATTTACATTGTTGTACATTTATTTCGACTGGAATAATTACCTAAACACAATTGGTGACAGTTATAAGAGAACTTTCGCATGGGATTGATGTGTATCCACTACTTTTTTGATAGATGGTTGGAAAGCAAGCATATTTGTTTGCATGCATACTTTTGCACTATTATATCTCCTGCGCATATGGCTATAATCTCACTTTTCAGTGATATTGGCCGCCATGACCGAAATCGGTCAGGAGGACATTGTTATAGAAAGCGTGTATCGTCTCTTCTCTTGCTCCAGAGATCTAAATGATGAGTAAAAAAAGAATATTACTTAATTTTTAAAGCTTCTTATTATAATAATCAAACAATACCTAGATCACTAAATACTTATACGTACGTCATGAGTTTTCATATGTGAACTGAGTTTTGCATGTAGCTATAATATAGGCACATATAAGTTATATGTATATAACAGTCCAAAAGATATGTTATCAAACGTACATAATTTTTTAAAATGGATTGTTTTTCTTCGTGGAGAAAGGTTCATAGGAGCCAATTTCCTCCGCCTGAGCTTTCAGAAATCCAGTTAAGGCATCAGTTATTCGTAGGAATAACTAAGATAATTTAACTAATTCAGCCAGAGTCATATTTAAGCTGACTGACCGGCTTACTTCTTTTCACCCTTCATCATAGACATACACTTTTCTTGTTAAGTATAATTATTAGAAAGAAGATTTTCTTGCTTTTCTCTTTCAAGTTTATTTTAGTCGATCTTTGAGCGCTAAAATATAGCTATGTTAAATTAGATGGAGTAGCGAAATTGCTCTAACTTTTATTATTAGAAAATATTTATGTACTTGATTTTTTTAAGCAAAAGAAGTGTAAAAATGAAAAAAATATATCCTCTAACCAACGGAACTCTCTCGGAACTCGGAAGCGACACAGGACACTTAAAACAGTAGGAATAAATAGGTTAACTTTAAAATGTGATCGTATTTCTTAAGCAAAAGAATTAATTTTCCTACGACAAGGAGATACTGTAATCTATTAGTGACTGGTGTTTTGTTTATTTGCTTTTTCTTTTGGGATACATTAAACATGATAGTCTAGTTCTGGGTATATCGATAGATTTTATATAAGTATTTACTTGCGATTCACTCTCGCGTCGTTCAGGTTCGTTAATAGGTAGATTTTAACGGTTAGTATGGAATAGCTAGTCGATCCCTTGCCTGAGAAAATCAAAAACATATTATTCCACGGAAACTATACATTTTTCCGGGACAAAAAGTAATCTGTGTGATATTCCAGACTATAATCTATCTCTGTGCCAAATTTCATCCAGATCCGTTCAGCCGTTCTGGCGTTAAAGAGTAACAAACATCCATCGACTCAAACTTTCGGTATTTATAATATTTATGGGATTATATTATTACACTATTCATTACTCTCCATAAAAAGATTCATGGATGTTTCAAAAATTTTTAAAAATTGTTCAAAATTTGAAAAAAATTCTTAGCAGCGGAGCTATTGTAAATTAAGATCAGATTTTTTATGCTCCTAGTTTTAGTATTTTTTAACGCTTCGTGAATCAGTCATGATGAATATGTAGAAAATATAATACTAAAAAAAAAAAAACAATTGTTATAAAGGTACTCTTGCTCAGCAGTTAACACTTCATGCCAATAGCATACTAATCGGTAATTCATTCAGTGGTCTCCTGAACACGTCTAGATGGGCAATCGTGTGGTGTGAAGGAGTTACGGATGAGGCGCTCCCGACTGTCATACTTACTTTTATATGATGTGGATTCCATAAATGATTCTGCGACGCTCCAATACGACAGGGAAGATACCGTCTGGTTTTATTAGATCGTTTTGGCATTTCTAAGCGGCGAGTCTCCACATAACCACCTGTATATATACTGATATCAGGGTTCTGCTGTGGGTTTTAGTGAGTAAGTGTCTTACAGTCCTTTGCCCGTTGACAGCTGGCAGGGATGCATGATGGGATTTTCTAGCGAAAACCAAAATAAAGTAATAAACAGTAATTAGGCTTGATAGGTATAACGGCAACTTGCCACACTCTGTAACTTTTCAAATCAAAATTAGTTTTTTACCGTTTCCTTTCAGCACAATTGCATTTCTGACGATGTAACTACTTTGTTTTTTAAATTAAGTTGAAGTTCCAAGAGTGCTGGCGGAAATAAATATAACGTTAAGATGCATATTAAATAAAAAGAAGGTTTTTTTAAAACATTATCGATATGTCGCATTAATGATGCATCTCTAAATATATTTCTGATACTGAAGCAGAGCTACAAAGGCGTGAAAGATTTTCGTATAGTAAACAATTCTTTCTAGCATCCGTGCGCGTTATTTTTAGGTCAATAGTTTTAGATTCGCTCATCGGCTTAGCTGTACTAACAAATGAAGATATCGTGCGCATGATCACTTTTTTCTTTTCTTTTGTTCACATGCAATATTTACTCAAATATGGATTTTTTAATTTAAATATAAATAAAATTGTTATTTTATATGTGATATACATATTTTATGTCTCTAACAAAATCGCGTGAGAAGTACACTTACTAAAGATTTTTTTTTTATAGTGACACGAAAATTAGAGCTGGACACAATAATGTGAATTAAATGATTGCTTTTTTTATTATTTTCAGTCACGATTCCAAACAATACGTCTTATAAAAGATATGATAATTTAAAGCTTTCTGCTTTCCTTTCTTTAGCTCTTTGCCCATTGTTTTCGACTTACAGACGGTAGGACCTAGAAATTAAATTAACAACTTATTAGTGAGATTCTCACTGCTATTACTGATGAGAGATAATGACTGGTAATTATATGTATGTAGTGTAAAAAATTAGGCCATATTAAATATTTCATTACTGAATGACGCGAGTATATATTTAGTTGGGGACTGGGCGGTGATCCGCCCACTGAAACTCAGTCTCGACGTCCACTCCGCGCGGTCCGCCTGTTTCCCGCCAAACAATTTAATATTTATTTATATATTATTTCTAGTTTTAACGCGTGTGATTTGTTTACAAAACGACTTTTTAAATTCGGGAAACAGTAAAATGAAATTTAAATTGTGAGTTTCGAATGCTTTAGTGAAGTTGTTACACGATTACAACGGATTTTAAAGGATTCTTCTTAGTAAGGTTATTATTTTTCTTGGTGATATTGGATGCTGATTTTAAGATATTAGGTACCTGATAAGATACTTTTGCACTTCTTATATGATATATCTATTGTATTAAACAGATAAAACAGTATATCGATAAATTATTTAAACAAAAAAATTGTACAAAATAATATATTCAGGTTTACAATTACAAAAACGATATAAGTTGACATAACTTTATTTTAATAGTAGTGACTTACCCTCGCTTCGCTCGGGTTCGTCCTTGGATTGTTTCCCCATACAAACTTTCATCCCAATTTTCACCCCCTTAAGGGATGATTTCCAGGATAAAAAGTACCCTACGTCCTTCCCGGGGTGTCAACCTATCTTCTTACCAAATTTCATCTAAATCGG